TTGAGCCAAACCGGTTTCGGCTCTTGTTCAATTTTTTTTTTAATTCCTTCACATTCTATAGACTATATTGGCAATCCCAATGTCTGATATACTTAGGTCTAAATTTGTTGCTTTTTTTTTTCTTTTTCTATTGTGTTCCCTCATGGTGGACTGTAACCTTCTGCATTTAGTGATTTTCAATTATGAACTCTTATCTGATCTTTCTCTGGGACTCTTTTAAGAATCTGGTTGGGGGGTGCTTTCCTTCTGATAGGATTTACATATCAGCTTTGATTGGAGTCAACGAGTTTTGGTGAGACCACTTTTCAGTTCCCTCACTTTGTTTCTGGTCCAGAGCTCAGTGTCCTGATCCAACTCCTGATCCAGCTACTGTTCTTGGCATTACTATGTATAGCTCTTGACTGCCAGGTTTAGTTCTAGCAGAGGGTTTGTTTGTTTGGTTTTGTAGGGTGTTTTTTTCAGGGTAGGGGTGGCTTTGAATATTCCTTATTTCTATGAACTCAGCAAAAAAATAAATAAATAAAATAAAATCTAGGACCCACTTTTTTGGAAGTGATAGGAAGTCAGTTACTTTAATATTTAATATTACTCAAATATTTTAGTTTGTACTAGAAAAATATTGTCATACCAAACATAAGATTTCTTGGTAATATCAAATTTTCTATTAAAACATGTTTATATTGAAGTTATTCTAAAGGAAAATATTAAATATCAGTATAGGTGGCAGGTGATTTTGCAAAGTTCTCTACCTTGCGGAATGTGAATAAAAATTTGGGTAACACTGAGCTAGGGAATGAAGATGGGTAGGACAGTTTGCCCTCTGGACCCAGAATGAACCTACAGAGATAAATCTGTGATGACCCAACTGTGAAAACAGTTGTCAAAGGATATGGGCTGGTGCTCCGGGCTCCTAGAGAAGAAGTACAGCAGTAAGCTTGGTGGGAGCAAGAAGATTGGAAATGCCTCCTGGAATCTAGTAATAAGGACTGGTAGGCTTCAGGTGGGCAGCAGGAGGTTTGTTTGGGAATGCAGGTAGTTGCTGAGTATGATTGACTTGTAAGTTGAATGCCATGCAGTGACTGGAGACAAAAGCAGGAACAGGATCACAGAAGACCTTCTATGCTAACATTAGAGAGTTTGGACTTTATTCTGAAGATGAAGAGAAGCTGTTGAATGTATTATGATCAGAGTTTTACCGGATGCCAAGATGGAAGGCATGACACCAGTTAGGAGACTTGCTTGCTAAAACAGTTCAGAGAAGTAAGATGAAGCTACAATTTTGGCAGCACCTCTGGGCATGAAGAGGTGTGCGCGCTAATTTTAGATTTCTTAGGGGAGTAGTAATGACAAGACTTAGTGGTCAGTTGGGTAGAAATGTTGAAAGAAACTGGGGAGTCTAGATTGACCCTGAGGTTTCTGGTCTGGATAAACAGGTGGCATGTAGAGCAATTAACTGATGATATACATGAAGAGGAAAGAACTTGGTTTCCTTAGTTTTTGAGGAAAATGATGTTTCTCTTTCAACTTACTGAATCTGAGAGGCTTGTGGGACATTTAGGTTAAATCGAGTAGCAGTTGACAGGTTCTAGAATCATGAGATACAACCCAGTCTGGAGAGCTTTGAGAGTCTTGAGTATTCTGCTGTTGTGTAGTATGAGATAATCGAAACTGGTTATAAATAAACACAATTTTTTGAATAGTTAGGAATTTAATGTGTATGAAAGCATACATTGTACACCAAACCTATGTCATCATGGATATTATCAATTAGGCCAAGCGAGACCAATAAAAGAAATATCAAGTAAATAAAAATACATGTGACATGTGGAAAAGGCAAAAATCATGGTGAAGCTATGCAAATGATGGAAGTTCAGAAAGTGCTGTGTGAAGCCATGGGTTGGTGGATAAGCTCACCCAAGGAGAGAGTAAGTGTGAAAGGGAAGAGAGTTGGTATTTGGGTGGCAGGGATGGAGAAGAAGAGCCCATGGAGACTGAGGAAGCGCAGCCAGAAGAATAGAACCAGAAGGAGGTCTCTGGAGTCCAGATGAAGAGTTCTGAAAAGGAGGAAGTGGTCAACAGCGCCAAGTAAGTTGTAAGCTGAAAAGTGCTCTTTGGACTTAGCAATTAAGGGAGACCATTTAGCTGGAAGCATCCAAACAATGTGTAAGAAAAAATACTCGCCTAGTATTAATGTTACTGGTAAGTTGATATTTATAGCAGTCACTATATGCTGAAATACTCTTCTAAGCACTTACAATGTGGTAACTGGTTAATTAGGTAGGTAGTCGTGATGTGTGAGGAAACAAGCACAGAGAGGTTAAGTTACTTGCCCAAGATCACACTGAGGAAATGGGAGAGCCAGGGTTCAGGCCCATGCAGTCCGGTTCCAGAGTCCATGCTCTTAACAACTATGCCATATCGCCTTTCTGGTTAAAACAAAATAGAAAATTAAAAATAAACCAGTGGTGTAAGTACAGTATAATTGGTGTGGGGTGTGGTATTGGTGAGATCTGCAGGCTGAGATGTCACAGTGGCTCAGTCTGCGGATGTGAGCCCATTAATTGTATTGTAATGGATGCCATGACAGTGAATGTGGGCTGTAACAGTTTTGGCTTTCTGTATTTACACACACAAAACGTTTGTAAAACAAATGAGTTTAAAGTGCATATATTTCCCAGGTTCCGTAATATATGGCCACTTTGGGTGCCAAATGTCTTTTTATTTTTTTCAAGTCAGTGTTTATTTTTGGAGTTAAATGCTGAACTCAGAATATTGTTGACCTAGAACAGCAGTCGGCAGACTGTGGCTTGCAAGCCACATGCAGCTCGAGAGCCTCAGTTTGCCTTTCTGTCAACTAGTTTGCCAACCACTGCCTTAGGGAAAAACACTTAAAAAATTTTTAAAAAATTTTAAAAAAATTTTTAAAAATACTTTATCGATATTTTACAGAGAGGAAGAGAGAGGGAAAGAGAGTTAGAAACATCGATGAGAGAGAATCATCAATCAGCTGCCTCTTGTACACCCCCTACTGGGGATGCGCCCTCAACCAAGGTACATGCCTCTGACTGGAATCGAACCCGGGACTTTTCAGTCCGCAGGCCGACGCTCTATCCACTAAGCCAAACCAGTTTCGGCTTAAAAAACATTTTAATAATGTACTAATGTTTTTAACCTGAAGTAAAAACTTCTGGGGGGGAGGGTAATGCCTTACACAGCGGTCAGCAAACTTATTAGTCAACAGAGCGGCAAACCGAGGCTCGTGAGCCACAGTTTGCCGACCACTGACCTAGAATAGGTCAGGGTCCAGACATTATATAGAATCAATCTGTTGTAGAAGGTCATTAATGACTGTATTGGAAGGGGAGACGAGTTGAAATGGCTCTTGGTTGTTCTCAGAGAAGCTAATGAGAGATTTAGAAACCGGTTAGATCTGGGCAGTGATCTGAGTGTGACCTTGGGAAGGAGGTGCTTCGGGGAAGTGGGCAGTGCAGTTCATTTTAGCTGAGAAGGTAGGTAAACTTCAAGGCGAGGTCTGGAAGGGTCATCTGCATGGGCCTTGGTGTGTCTGTGATGATGGAATTTGCAGGAGAGGGGAACACTCTGAACTACTGTCAGTGTTCTTAAACATGACAAGCAGGAGGTACCTGGCAATGACAAGGAGAAGTGTATGTGGTACAGTGTAGTGTTTGAGAGGAGAGGCTATGGAATCAGAGGGCCCAGGTTTGAATCCTTCTCGTTTGGTGACCTTGAGCACATTACTTAATTTCACCGAGAATGTTTCTCATCCGAACAGTGGGTGATGGTAATGGAATTCAGAAGACGTGCTTTGAGGATTGAGGGGATGCATGTGACATGCTTGAAATAACGTGACAAATAGTACACAGTTTGCTAGGAAGATTGTTGTTCTTGGCTTCTGAGATTGTGAGGTCTTTTCATACAGCAAATTGGACGTAATAAGAATTAAAGAAATGATTTGTGTTTCATGACCTGATAGTGGTCTCGCCTAGGAAAACAGAAAGTTGGTTTGTCTTAGCAATAGTGGGGAAGCAGAAAGGTGTGAAAAATGGCGCTGATGATAGGAAAAGAAAGCCATTACTTGGGCTAGAGTTAGAAGTAATAAATGCGGCATTTTTCAATGATGTTTAGGTTGTGCAACTTTTCTTCGAAAGCTTTAAATCTTATTGAGCTTTCTTCAGTAGGAAAAAAAAAACACCTTAATTTGAAAAGGAAAGTCCTAATTTCCTTTTCCCCATTGAAATAGTTATTTTTAAAACATGTGTGTTAACATGAGGGTTTTGCCCACCTTTGGAATCTAGCAGAGCTGACTGTTGTAGTTTTAAGTATTGGAGCACTGATGGTTAGGAAGCTCTGGAGAGGAAAGGTCTGGATGTGGCTGTGGGGATGAAGAGACTGATAGACTCTCTCTGTACCACTCGGCTGTGCACCTTTGCCCAAGACATAAACGCATGGAGGGATGCCTAGGACAATCTGAGCAGCTGAAATGAAGTGTTTTCTCAGTGGAGTCAGGGGTTAGCTCTGGCCAGAAGGGTGAGAATGTAGCAGTGTGGGATTGTGAAATGATGATTTTCACAGGATGCAGTAATAGTAGATAGTGTAAAAGGACAACAGTGGGAAGATGGCTTGTTCAGTCAGCACTTATTTGAGGGCTTCCATGTGCTCGGCACATAAAAGATGAATAAGGTGCCCATAATTACCCTCCTTCTGAAGGAGACGTGTAAGCAGATAAATTCAGAGTAGAGGTTAGTGACTTGGAATTTGAGGAAAAGAAATAGATTAAACTGATATCTGAAGACAGTTGTGGAAGGAATTGCAGAATAAGGACAAGAATCTCTCAGGGAGCTCAGTGTTCTTTCTTATTGGAATTACTTCCTTGGGGCATAAGTTCCAGGTGTTTTTCTAAAATGTCCAAGAAGCCAGGCAGACTGCTCTCATGTATTGATGGATTTAGTCACTGACTTGTGTTTGTGTTGTCTCCTTAGGACGCTGCGCCATGGACATTTTGGCCCTGGGAGAGTGCACCACAGCTGATTATGCGTGGCTAGACGATTGCCCATATGTGAGCGATACTGTCTATACTTCTGAATTTATTCCCAATGATTATGTTCGTGTGACTCAACTCTACTGTAATGTTGTGGTGAGTAGATTAGTTAACTTTTTGTTTTTCATACTATGTTTTCTTAAAGGATTTATAAGGTTTTTAAAAATCGAGTATAATTGACATATAACATGATTTCAGGTGTACTGCATGATTTGATATATGTGAAATCACCGAGCTAACATCCATCAACACTTAGTTACAATTGTTTTCTTGTGATGAGAATTTTTGGGATTTACCTCTTAAAGATGTTTGACTTAGAGCTATCTGAGTATAGGTGTTTTGTGCTACATGAGTTTTTACGAAGAGCTACCCAGGCTTTAGAAGAGGTGATTTAGAAGGGAAAGGAAAGCAGCGCCTCAGCAGCAAGAAGGTGCAGTGTCAGACATGAGTGAGGGAGGGGTTTCTGCCTGAGTTACAGAGCTCTCAGGGAGACACCGGGAAAGGCTTTGCGACGTGTTGGTTGAAGATGCTGCATTCCAAGTGTATATAAATGAATGTGCACTGAACGTTTTTTAGTTCAGTGCTAGTAATCTTTAAAAGTCAAGAACCATGCGTTTGCATCTTATCAGACATCAATCAAATGTTTTTTTTTGTCTGTGTTGTGTGTGTGTGTGTGTGTGTGTCTGTGTGTGTGTCTGTGTGTGTGTGTGTGTGTGTGTGTGTGTGTGTGTGTCTGTGTGTTTTGTTTTTTTTAGGGTAGGCAGTATAAAGATCACGCCGAAAGTGAGAGAAACTTGGGTAAGTACACTGGTATTTTAACTATCGATATATAATTTGTTAAAAGACTATCACATGAAGTTCATTCTTTCACATTAATATAACAGACTTAATTAGCTCTTAAAATTGTGGGGTTTTTTAGAGTAATATATTTTGCTGAGCATTTATTTATTTATTTTTATAATTGATTTTAGAGAAGAAGGAAGAGGGGGAGAGAGAGAGAGAAACATCTATGATGAGAATCATTGATTGGATGCCTTCTGCACACCCCCTACTGGGGATTGAGCCCATAACCCAGGCATGTACTTTTGACTGGAATCAAACCTGGGAGCCTTCAATCCTCAGGCTGATGTTCTATCCATTGAGTCAAACCAACTAGAGCTAAAGATATATTCTTACTAATATTCTATTTCATTAGAAGCCAAAACCTTTTTTAAAATAGAGTTTTAGCTCACTTGAATATTCTTAATATCTTAACAGGTTGAAATATTTTATCCATTCATTTCTTACTTTCCCATAATCTGTTTTTGCTTTTTCCTATTAACACTGTGATTGATTCTAAAACAAGGCACTAAATATTAATTTAAACAATTTTTAAATTAAGAATTCGACATCTGCAATATGTGGTGTACTAAACCAGTTTCTGTCCTGCGAGATTACTGTGATGCCATTAAAATTCACATCTTCTGGCCACTTCTGTTTCAACATCAGCACAGTTCCATAATTTCACGGCTGTATCCCTGTGTGGAGGCCAAGTAAGTTACTACGTTATTCATTTTGTATAAACAGTGGTAAACACATGCCCAGTACTGAGGAATGCCAAGTACAGTGGAAGGATAGGTCTCATGCTTATATACTTGTTCAGCTGTATTCTTGTTTAGTAGAGTGGGAAAAGTTGGTACTTGGGATTTGGATGTGAATGAATAATCATGATAACATTCTATCTAATAAAAGAGTAATATGCAAATTGGTCATCACTCCAATACACAAGATGGCTGTCCCCATGTGGACACAAGATGGCCAGCAGGGGAGGACAGTTGGGAGGGACCAGGCCTGTAAGGATGGGCAGGCCAGCAGAGAAGGGAAGTTTGGGGTGATGGGGCCTGCAGGGGAGGGCATTTTTTTTGGGGGGGGACCCAGGCTTGCAAGGGAGAGGATTTGGGTGGGACTAGGCCTGTAGGGGAGGGCAGTTGGGAGGGACTAGGCCTTCAGGGGAGGGCAATAAGGGGTGACCAGGCCTTCAAGGGAGGACAGTTAGGGGTGACCAGGCCTGCAGGGGAGGGCAATCAGGCTGGCAGGGGAGCAGTTAGGCATCAATCAGGCTGGCTGGGGAGTGGTTAGGGAGTGATCACCTGGCAAGCAGAAGCAGTTAGGGGCAATCAGGATGGGCAGGCAGGCGAACAGTTAGGATCCAGCAGGCCAGGATTGTGAGAAGGATGTCCAACTGCCTGTTTAGGCCCAATTCTACCAGGATCATGCCTAAACAGACAGTTGGACATCCCTCAAGGGGTCCCAGACTGGAGAGAGTGCAGGCTGGGTTGAGGGACACCCCCCCACACACACAAATTTCATGCACTGGGCCTCTAGTTATATATAATGAATGAAATTCTGAAGAGCATTAGATGATAAATTTGAAACTGGGTAAGGAAAATTAATATGATTTTTAAAATAGATATCAGCATTGTATACAAGAAAAGAAAAGGTATAATATATTATCCGTTAAACTTATTGTTACTTAGAACGAAGGAACAGAACTTAAAGGAATAATATGCAGTAAAGTGTAAAGTTTAATAACTTCTTATACACAAGGATCTAATTTAAAAAAATTTATTCTTCTTAAAGTAGTTTTCATGCTTCTGAGATAAGTTTGAAGGAATTGCAACATCTAGAGTTGATGGAAGATATTGTGGATTTGGCGAAGAAAGTTATGGTAAGTGGTAGAATATGGCTTTGTTGTCCTCTCGTTAAAGATTATAAGTATATGGTGTCAGACTACGTGACTAATTTATAATGGTTGGGGGCTTCGGTCCTGATTAACCTGAGCTGGTGCTGCCTTCCTTGAGCCGGTGATGTGTGTGGGAGAGATCAGGCAGATGGCTGCTGTTGTGGTTCTGACAGGACATATTGAGAATCAAGACAGCTTTCTGTCACTAAGGATAGAAGTTTGAATTTGTCACAAAAGACAGTTTTCTCTTGATTCACAGAAACTTTTGTCCCAGGTTCTGAAAGTGAGGGGTTCCGTTTTCTAACTTAGAATCACGCCACTGCCACCACCACTGCCACCAATATTTTTCCGTTTGGGTAATCTTATGTCAGATTTGAGCAGGTGTCCTTATGCTTCACTGAGGGATTTTTCATTGAGAGCCATTGAATAATTTTTCTTATTTTAGTTGATTATGGAGCCACCTAGGGTTTTTAAAAATTCTTTATTGTTGAAAGTATTAACTAAGTCTTTTTCTTGGTATTATTCTGATTGCAAACAAATTTAGAAAGGGCATTTGCTGTTTATTCTCTGTTGATAATCCTTTGCAGTATTATATTAGCCTGATATATTTTTATAAAAAATACAGGTGTCATTAACTTTAAAACTTATATATCTAGAAGTGACACTAAATCTTTTTATCATTAGATCCCAAGATGGGACTATTTCTGAATTCTTGTTTTAGGGTCCTTTAGCGGTAAATCGAGCATGAAAGTGCTTGTGGAAATTGGACTACTACGTATTCCTAAAATGTAGAATTTTGTTGTTCACTGGAAAATCCATGCATAATTGGCCGAATAAAGATGAAAAATGTGTTTTGTGCTCTTTTCTTGCAGAACAATTCCTTCTTTATTGGAGGCTTACTGAGAATTGGCTATAAAATAGAAAATGTAAGTGTTAAACACGGGAACCCAGCATAAGCACTGTGAGTCCATGGCAGTTGTCTTGCTGCTTGTTCCTCATGTCTGGGTCTCCATAGTCAACATTTTATGTGTAGTGTTTGCTAGTTTTAATTTCTATGTTTTGTTTAAGCACTCTCCTTATTCTATGCTATTTACATAATTTTCATTTCCCCCCAAAATTACGCCTAGTATAATTTTGAACCTCTTTTACAAGTTGATTCTTTTTCCCCCTATAGATTATTTACCTGGCATATGTTCTCCCAAACGAAATGATTAGGTCCCTGGTATGAACATGTTTTGCTATATAATTACTAGATAATCGTCACATATAATGATAAACCATTTTTAATGTTATTGGTAACATAAGCTTCTACACGTTTTTCTTAAGCCTAGCACCTGCACTGATAACTCCACTGTTTAATTTCTGAAGTTATTTCAGACACAAGTATGATTAAAAGTTCTGTGAAGGTCATTGCATTCCGTGCTCATTTGCCCAGCTACACCCTCTTGTTTACCTCTTATTCTTCTATTTGCCACAGACCATTTAAAAACCATATCCCTTTGGTGAACCTTAATTTATACCTTTAACCTTGAGACAAGGATGCAAGTTCTAATTTAGATGAGCTCTGAGACACCAGATTCATCTTGTATTATTACACTCTTCTGCTACCCAGGGCCGTCTCGGGCTGGGCTGTAGGCTTCATCTGTCAGGTCTCTAATCATTGCAGAGCATCTCGAGCTCTGAGGGTGGTCCACGGTGGCCTGAAATGTAACATACACCAGTCCATGGTGTCTGTTTACTTGTATGTTGGGGTCCAGTTATTCTGAGTTCTGTGCTAGATTAATGAAAATGTGAGATTATGAGTTTTATATTAAGAATCTGAAATACTATATAATGCCAAAGTGAATTTAGAATTAATAGTGAAATCACATTCTATATCCCTCTTTTTGAAACAGAATATATTGGCAATGGAAGAAGCTTTGAATTGGGTGAAATACACAGGCGATGGAGCAATTCTATCTAAATTAGGAGCAGTTGAAAATTGTTGGCCTATGTTAAGTATTTTCTTTACTGAATGTAAGTATAAATGCTTTAGATTATTATTTGACTCAGTTTTTAATGAAATGTGTATTTATCTTAGGATTTTAAAAAAATGTTTTTTCTCTGAGTAAGGGAAAAGCCTGCATAAAAGAACTTTAACCTTGTAGTTAGTTTCAATCTGTATTTTCTGTCTTAATGATTTTTATGATATATTTTATTGAATTTTTAAAAAACATGTTTTTATTTATTTTAGAGAGGCAGGGAGAGGGATAGAATTATTGATGTGAGAGACATCGATTGGCTGCCTCCTGCTTGCCTCCTACTGATGATCAAGCCTGCAACCCTGGCCAGAATAAAACTGGTGACGTTTTAGTTCATGGGTTGATGCTCAAACACTAATACTTTAAAATTTTTTGTCCAATAGAGGCCATAGTTGTCTATATAATACTCAAGTTATCCTATATAATAAAGAGCTAATATGCTCATTAGACCAGAAGGTAGAACAACCCTCCAGAATGACTTTCCAGAATGATCTGTGGGTGGAGCCTCGAGGCAGCTGGGGCTGCGAAGGCCAAGGCCCTTGCAGGAATTTGTGCATGGGGCCCCTGGTTATATAGAATGCTCAGAAAAAGACACAACCGAGGCTCGTATACTAGCTGTACCAGTTAATAATGTGGATTTTTGTAATCAAAACATGATAATTTCAAGAGAAACATCAAAAGTGCTTTATTCAAAGTAATGTCCATCGTTAGCTACACATTTCCCTCATCTTTAGCTACACACATCCCTCATTGTTAGCTACACATTTCCCTCAATTTATAGATACTGTTCCAATAGAGCTTTTCTTGTTTTGAGGCAAACCATTCAGAGACCCAATTTTCCACTTCTTTGTACGTTTTGAAGTGTTGCTCAGAAAGTGCGTATGCCCTCAATCCGAAAAAGTGGTAATCTGAAAGAGCAAGATCTGGTGAATACAGTGGGTGGGTTAATACTTCCCAGGCAAGATCTTTCAATGTGTCTTTAATTGGTTTTGAAGTGTGTGATGGTACATTATCATGAAGCAAAATTACTTTGCCATGTATTCTGGCACATTCTGGTCATTTCATGATCAAAGCATGGTTCGAATTGATTATTTATTGTTGGTAGCGATCAGTATTAATGGTTTCACCTGGTTTTAGAAGCTCATAATACCGCGTTTCCCCGAAAATAAGACATTCTCCAAAAATAAGAACTAGCGCATGGAAAGATAAGAGATCCCCTGAAAATAAGACCTAGCGCAACTTTGGGAGAAGAAAACTAATATAAGACACTGCCTTATTTTCGGGGTAACAGGATACATACACCGTGCTGATCCCACCAATGAGAGCATTGTCTTCTTTCCGAAGCAATTTGGCCTTGCAGTCGATGTTGATGGTTGACCTGGATTAATCCATGATTTTGTGCATTTGGGATTCTCAAAATAAATCCACTTTTCATCTTCAGTCACAATTCGATGCAAAAAAAGGACTTTCTTTTGTGCCGTTGAAGCAACATTTTACTGATGACTTTTCGGTTTTCCATTTGTCTTTTATTCAGTTGATGTGGCACCCATTTTCCTTCCTTTAAAATCTTTTCCGTTGCTTGTAAACGATCGGAAATTGTTTGCTAAACAATGTTGAATCTTTCTGCAAGTTGTTTTTGAGTTTGACATGCATCTTCATCCAACAATGCTTGTAATTGTTGATCTTCAAACTTTTTCTGTTGACCTGGATGTTGTTTGTCTTTCGCATAGAAATCATCACTTTAAAGCACTTAAAGCAGCGTTCATAGTATCTTGAGATGGAGGATGTTTACCATAAGCTTCCCAAAGTATACCATAACTTTTTCTTCAAAATAAAGTAATGAATTAAAACTTCACACAAATGCTCTTTTTTTTGGGCATGAAATTTGACATTTTTAAGTGTAAAAATATCTAAGATGTTAACACCTTCAGCAAATTTGACATATGAAGTTTTGAAGCTTGCTGTCAGTACAAAATAGCATACATAACAAATCACATCTATATCAACATATGTGTAACTCCATCTATTGGAGAAAATGCATTATTAACTGGTACATCTTGTATTCTCACTGGTAAGAGAAATAAATAAGAGCTAAGATTATAATTTTCATATCCCTGATGAATCTGTTATTATGTATAATGAAACTGCTTTATATTTATTTTTTACTTTGTGGAATACTTTTCTCTAAAGCATTTGAATGTTTTTATAGTACAGCTATAGGAATCTTAAAACAAGGAATATTTGGCTCTTCAGTAGATGATAAGAATTGGCCACCTCTAGTGAGGACAAATTTTGTACAATTGATCTAAATGCTAGAGAAGATCAAGCTTGAACATGGAGACAGGTCTTCTGATAGGTTTAGCAGGCACTGGGCTATATTAAGGTGGGTCTCTCTGTTCTGAAGGCCTTTAGTTCTTGTCTAGATTTTATGGTAAAAATAGAGGGCCAGTATCATGTACTGGGCACCCATGTTGGCTCACTTTTGACTCTTTGTCTCTGTTCTCTCTTCTTCTGAAGGTAGCTGTTATCCCTATTTTAGAAATTAGCAAACTGAGACTTTGAGAGGTTAAGTGGTATTTCTGTAGTCTAGTAAGTAGTGGAACCTAGATGAGAAGTCGGGTCTCTTAAATCTTAAAGCCCGGTTTTCATTCTGTAATCTCAGTCTGAGCCTTAGCATTACTTTACTTTATTTGGTGACTTACCCAAATCCTTTCTTGAATCTTACATTTTAAGTACTATTTTTGCCATTAGAATGAATGTTTGTCTAGAGGGGTAACTACATTTTTGTTGTATTAAAATTATTATTTAACACCTTAAAAAATATTTTTATAGAACAGCTTAAAATACAGAAAATGAAGCTTTGTAAACTTTTAATGTAAATTTTGGTTATTACAGCATTTTTATTTTATTAAATTTATATAAGAATAGTCTTTCAAATAAAGTCTAATTTTAACATTTCATTCAGGAGAGTCAAATGTTGAATTAAGACACTTAAACTTTTCATTTATTATTAATTTAGAAAGTGGTTTTACAGGATTTTCTCATTTTTATTGAAATCGTACCAGGTATACTACAGGAGCTCAGATATATTTGTTGAATTGACTTGTGTTTATGAAGCCCATTTGGAATATAGTATGATGGAGCATTTGTTGTAATTACAGTTAGAATTGATATAATAATAATAAGTATTTTCTTAATGCTAGAAATGTAACTGATTAAATTCATAGCATTAATGAATCTAATGTTATTAGTTTTTTTAAATATACTATTTGATTACAACAAATCTATTATTTATAAGTACAATATAATGAACTTTATAGATTCACCTAACCTAAGAATTAGAACATTAACAATACCATTTTTAAAAAATAAATGTCCTCTCTCTCCTAAAAAATAAAAAATAGACAAGTACCACATAACTAAAGTTGTAACAGAAAACTGCAATATACTTGAAGAATTTGAAAGACAAACTTGTTTGGAGTGTATACAGGTAAGAATAAATATTTATTTGTAAGTATATTTCAAGATTTTCTTGTTACACTTTTTATTAACACTCAGAGAAAGTTCAGTAGAACTGCTACGTAATACTATAAAAATCAATAACATGTTTGAGGGAAATTTTAATAAATTTTGACTGGAATACTTATTTTTTTGGAAGAGGAAAATAGCATCTTGATGAGAATTTTCTAGTGTTACAGGTTTTTAAAAGAGTTAATAGAATATTAAAATTTGATTTTTTTAATTAAAAGAGTTTTAATTAGTTGAGTAAATACGATTTTCTTTGTTAACAGCATTATTGAGATGTAAATACATGCCATACAGAATTACTCATAAAAAAGATGATTTTAACGAAATTTTTTAAAAAGGACTTAGAAGCATATTTAATGTTCTAGTGAATTTTCTAAAGTCATTGATGTGATCCAGTTTATTTCAGTGAATTTGTTTTGAAGATTTGAGTGTTTAAAGTAAGTTTTAGTCATATCTGGACCATCTTTGAAAACCTTTTAATGTCATTCTTCCTGACTTTGTTGCCTCTTTTCTGGCAATTAATATAATCAGCATTGCCTATATGTGTTAATGAATTACATATTGTTTTGTAAGCACCCAGGTTTATTGAACAATATCACATTTTCTAGCCTAAAATTAAAGTTCTACCTGGCATCTGTTTTTCCCTGTCATGCAGCAGGCTTACCGAGTACGTGTAAACATGGGCCCTCAAGCACTGTACAAGGGGATTGGTGGTTAGCAGTCACCTGTGATGTAATGGTTTTGTTCACTTTTTAGTTTCCTTTAACAGAGTTAGTGCTAAGTCCTTAGAGACAGGTTTCTTTACATACACGTACCAAAATATTAAATGTTGCATCATGATTTTCTACATAAGTGACCCCCCTGGGTTATTTTTGATAGCAAAGATAGAAACATAGGTTTGTTTTTCCTAGGTAAGGGATTCTTAATTGTCTTGCAATTAACTGATGGGTTTTCTTTCACCTTGGTTTTTCAGCAAGGAGAACTAATGAAAATGAAAGGAAATGAAGAGTTTTCCAAAGAAAGATTTGATCTAGCTATTCTCTATTACAGCAGAGCCATTGAATACAGGTAAGAACTAAACAGAACAGTGAAATCCTTTTTATGTGGCAGATAACTTAGAATGCTAGCCAGGAAATAAAAGAGGAGGAGCTGGAGACTGTCTTGAGCTTGCTATGCAGAAGGGAGTTTCTCATGCAGGCACGAAGCATTAGAGGTGGTCTGAGTGTATGGACTTAATCAGATAGTATAACTCAGGCAAGTCTTACAAACTTGTGAATTCCATTCTGCCCAGCTGTTTTCTTTTAAGTTGTCTAGACCGGTGGTTCTCAACCTGTGGGTCACGACACAGATATTTACATTACAATTCCTAACAGCAAAATTAAATTATGAAGTAGCAACAAAAATAATGTTATAGTTGGAGGTCATCACAACATGAGGAGCTGTATTAAAGGGTCATGGCATTAGAAAGGTTGCGAACCACTGGTCTAGACAGACTCATATGTTCTTCCTTATTTTCATTTTGCCTTCAACTAATTTCTCTCAAATTATTAATCACAAAGGGTTACTTACTAGTAACCCTTTGTGATTAATAATTTGATGTCACTTAAGATGTCACTTATGAAGGATTTTTGCTTTCTAAGAGGGAACTTTGAAGGGATAATAGTTGGGATTGTTGAGAATGCATGCGTTCTCTCCACCTCATCTTCCATTTGCTCAGCTGCTAGGCTTTGGTAGCATTTTTGCAAGTGTGCCTCCCTTGGCATCGCAGCTGGTCCACCTGATATTGTAGCAGTACTGGGAGGATGTGCTGTAGACGGCTACTCCTACCTTGCCAGTCTCCACGGGGAACGAGCGGATCAAGGTAGCACGGCACACTGGGAGGCTGCTGTCAGTCCCGAGGAGGTAGAGGAAAGGGAATGAGGTTTCACCACGTGTGATCAGATAAGATAAAGAGGGCAGAATCTGAAGGGAAGCTATTAAGCTACTGTTAATTTACAGAGTTTTTTTTTTGAGTTCTTTGTCAATGTGTTTAGTCCTGACTTAGATATGTAATTCTGTCCTGCACAGTTACAGAATACTTGTAGTTTTAGCTTGTTAATGTGTCCTGTAATCCTCACAACAGTTGTATGAGGTAGGCTGGAAAAGTGGTAATCTTTATTTCGAATACAGGGAAGTTGAGGATGATTTTACTCAGTTACTCAGGTAGGGAAATGAAGGAACCAGGACTTAGTCAGTTGGAACTTCAAATCCTATATTTTTTCTGCTCTGCCACAGACATAAAGTTTTTGAAAAAGTTTTCATACTTTAGGTTTTCTGTATGATTTTTGTTTCACATGTAATTTCCTTTACTGACTGAACATTATTTTTTTTTTAAGTCCTGAAAACCACCATCTTTATGGTAATCGAGCTCTTTGTTTTATTCGCACGGGACAGTTCAGGTAAGCTGGTTAGTGTTGTTCCCTAATTATTATGCTATATGCCCATTTCTGTTTTGCAGGCATGCAAGAAAATTGTTCAGTAGTTCCTTGGCAAAAATAGTTAAATAATTAAGAGAGAGCTTTGTAAGCTATCTATATAACAACCACAGTGACAGCAGTAATTATTCTGATTGAGTGGGTGACATGTTACACATTATTTTAAGCACTTATGTTATTTAATTCTCACAATACCCTAAATAAATAGGTAAAGTTATTCTCCACATTTATATTTGAACAAACTCATACTATTAGTAAGTAGTAATACCCAGATTTAAACACAGATCTTATCTGATGATATAAAAGTCTGTGTTTATAACACGTTAAATTACCTCCTTTTGCTCTATGAATTAATCTAGAAAGTTCTGGTGGAAGTTGTGCTTGTTTTCTCCATCCTGCTAATAACATGATTCAGTAAATGTCCTTCATAAGTGAAAAGGAAAATAAATTTAGTGGTTTAACTATGAGAGTGAAATACAATGAATTTTTAGTTCCTAATGTTGAAATTAGCTTTTATTTATTGAGAAAGATTGTTGACACTATGCTATGATTTTGTTGTTCCCCAGTTTATAAAACCAGGACATAAATTATCAGCATTACTATTGAGCAGGGTAAGCGGTTTCATTTAATTATGTCCTGCCTTACAGGAAGGGTTTAGGTGATCTTCAAGAATACGGTCACTCAGCCTGGCCAGCGTGCTCAGTGATTTGATTCCTGGTCAGGGTATATGTCCAGGTTATGGGCTTGATTCCCACTAGGGGGTGTGCAGAAGGCAGCCAATCAATAATTTTCTCAGCATTGATGTTTCTGTATCTCCTTCCTTTTCCTTTCCTCTCTTAAATAAATAAAAAAATATTTTTAAAAATGAATACATTCATTCAGTAGAAGAATAACAAAAACAAAACATACTGAAGAACCAGGTTAGAGCCTAGGATCCTCATAATAAAGTGGCATAGGCAGGAGGTCCTGCTTATTATTTGTGTCTGACCTTCCAACAGAAAGGTCAAAATAAGAACATTTGACAAGTGATGGAATTCTCTCTGTCTATGAAGAAAGAGGGCCCTGGTTGCTTAGGTGAAGCGGTGTTTTCCTGGAGTTTGTGGTTTACGGGTGCTACGAGTTGAGCAATGGAATAGAGGAGGACCGCAGCAATATTCTGTTCGTCGAAAAGTCTCCTGGAAAGTGCTGTCTGAGGTTTCACAGTTTCTGTTACTTTTTCTCAAGAAAGCAGAGTCAATGTCAGTTGTTTCTCAGTGAAAGCCCTTATGTTGGGATGTGGGAGGGTGGGGAGTGGGAAGAAGTATATTCCAAGTTTGTAGCTTTAAAAATAACATGTTTTTCTTTTGTCATAAACAGAAAACATTCTCATGGTAGAAAATTTGGAAAATACAAGAGTTTAAAAAGAAGAAAATAAAAATCACCAGTAACCCAACCACCTTGGAGAATATCGCTGTATTTTGTTATGCAGCTTTTAGATGTCTTAAGCTTTGGATAAGCCAAGGCTGTCTAGACTAGAGGAATGGATGGGCTTGACACAGTCTTCCATCACTACCACTGTCCTCAACTGTTCTGACAAGGAATGAGCTGCAAATGTCTTTAGGTTATTGCCTCTGGCTATGTCCAGAATTGCAGATATCCTATGCTGTTTGAAGGTGAATCTGAATGTTTTCAACGTGAATAGGTTGGCAGCATGGCTAGCCACCTGTGAAAATGGAGGTGGCCGATCTGAAACCTTGAATGGGTGGAAGGTCATTCCCTCTGCATGGGGGAGTGCTGAGAGCTGAGAGGCAGACCAGGGGACTCTGCCCTCTTCATGAGTGCTGAGTGCTAGACACTCAGGGAGGATTCTCTGAGACTCCACTGCAAAGGAGATGATTGGAGTACAATTACAGAAGCCAGGTAGCCTGGTGAGGTCAAGGCCAAGAGCATGCTTGTGCATCTGTCCCGTGCTCCTTCCTGATAATCTAGCTTGTGGTTCAGCACCATTGAGGTTTTCGCTGGAAGCAGGCCAGCCGCATTTTCTTAATCACCAAAATGCATCGGATGCCTCTTTAATGGCAGAATTCTCGTGCCACACTGGTCTTGGTGGTAGTCCCCACCTCGCACATTCTTGATGCGATGGGCTCAGTAAAGTAGGCATGGTGTTTTCTGATCAAGAAAGTAGATGATGTGGCTTCAGAAAAGAACATGTTGCCGTTGACATAGGACACCTGTCCTGTAGCTGTTAGCGAGGTTGAGATGTTTTGAAGCTCACATGTGTTGGGGTTGGTAGATCTGTTGTGGGAATTTGGCTGAGCAACTCCAGGGACAGGTTGGGGTGAAGCATCCCCCCTCGGGCACTGTTCTGAGCACTTTACACCCCTTAACTCACAGCACGTGCATGCCTGTGAGAGTGGGTACTGCTGTCTTTGCAGATGGGGGAGCTGGGGAGGTGGAACAGTGTGTCCTGGGACACTAGTGGATGTGATGAAGCCAGAGTGTGAATCCAGGCAGCCTAGACGTAGAGTCTAGTAGTCACCACAGAGAGCTGGTGACAGAACCAAAGGGCAGTGTGAAAGGTGAGGAAAATTAAATAAATGGTCCGAGTAGTCGGTGAATACGATCATCTTTACAGGACATGCAGGCTAAAAACTACGAGTCTTTTTTTCCACACCCGTCAGATTTTCAAAAATGTAAAACGCTCATTATACCCAGTGTTTGAGAGGATGTGGAATGAAGGGAACTTGCATACCCGCTGGAGAAAGTGTAAATTGGTGCCACCACGTTGGAGAGCAGTTTGGCAAGCTGAAGAACAAGCGCCCTCCGCAGCCCCCGCCAAACTCACAGATGTGTGCCCAAGAAGAGCTGTGCCAAGCGTCACTGTAGCCTTGTTTGTCATTGTAAAGAATGGAAACAGCCTAAATGTCCATCAGTAGGGGAATGGATACATCAGTTTATGGTATATGGTATATTCATACAATGGAAACCTATGCAATTGGTAAAATGAATACAATGCTGAGTGAAAACGCAAGTTGCAGAAATGATTTTAATGGTCTCTTACCATTTATATTTTGTTTAAAAATATGCAAAATGATATGCATATCCATAATTATGTGTTAAAATGTTTTTAAATGCATGTGACTATCTCATGGGAGGAAGGGAGGAAGCGAGGGAGGGAACAAGGTTGGCAATGGGAGGTATCCACTGTGACAGGCTTCTGCCGAGAAATCTGAAGCAAACACGGCAAAACGTTAAGATCTTGCTAACCTGGTATGTGGTGTGCATTACGTTCATGTTATTTGCTTTTAATGACTTGAAATACTTGCTGAAAAGCAATACAGTGTAATAAAAATGTACATGTTAAGATGAGAAAAACAACAGTGATCACTGAGCATTAAGGATGAAACAAGTGAAAAATAATCTTGAAAGGAGAGAAATGTAAGGAAGACCAAGGGCAGGGAACCCGAGGTGAGGCAAGTGTGGGAAATGGGTCATTCTGAAAGGGTCCAAATGGCGGAGGCAGTGGTGGTGTCAGTGCCAGTCGCACCGTGTGTAAGTTACCACCACGTGGGAGCCAGGCACAGGGAGATCGCACTGGGAATGTGGGGAACGGGCCTGGAGTGGGGGCGGAGCGGTGAAGACACGCTGCTTCCTGTCACCGCTTGTCCCTGCTGAGTCCTGTAGCCAGAGGGAGGTGTGCTGTGTGTCCCAGAACCCTGGGCTTGGATGGCATGCCTTTTATTCTGGTCTGGAAGTTCACGTTTCCAATACAGTTTGGTAGTTAAAGGGCATTTTAGAATGATAGTTGTAACTGAAGTAATTTGAAATTTTCAGTTTAGTTACTCATCATATAACATAAATCTATTAGAACTCAGCTTGTGAAATAGTGGGCAGATATAAATGACTGCGCTCTCTCATCTGAATTTCTCTGAGACCAGAGGTATAAATCAACTCAGTTGTATGTTCTGAGATTTTTTTCTTTTTTGGTAAGAACATTTATTTTGTAACCCCCAGAGGTAGAAGTATTTCCTAGAAGAAATGAGCTTAGAAAACAAGTTGTAGTCCTGGTTGGTTTACTCAGTGGATAGAGCATCGCCCTATAGACTGAAGGGTCCTGGATTCAATTCCAGTCAAGGGCACATACTTTGGTTGTAGGCTTCTCCTTAGCCCTGGTTGGGGCCTGTGTAGGAGACACAACCAATCACTGTGTCTCTCATCAATGTTTCTCTCCCTCTCTCTTTCCCTCAAAATCAATAGAAAAATATCCTTTGGCCGAGACTGGTTTGGCTCAATGGATAGAGCGTCGGCTTGGGGACTGAAGGGTCCCGGGTTCGATTCCGATCAAGGGCATGTACCTCGGTTGCGGGCATATCCCCAGTAGGGGGTGTGCAAGAGGCAGCTGATCGATGACTCTCTCTCATCGATGTTTCTAACTATCTCTCTCCCTTCCTCTCTGTACAAAATCAATAAAAAAATATATTAAAAAGAAAAAAAAGAAAAATATCCTTTGGTGGGGATTTAAAAATATTTATATGAAAAGTTATAGAGGTACAGGAAGGGCCTTTGGAGCTTGGGAGTGAGGAAGCTAAGAGGAAACTAATGGTTAAGTGCCTGATGGGGCAGAGGAGAGGAAAAGGCAAGGAAAGGGAGAACACCAGGGTCTGAGATTTTTAAAAATCCTAGTGTGTGGGAGGAGCTTAGTGCGAGTGTAGGTTTGTTGACTTAATTCTCTTATCTGTGTGGTTTATTTTCACTTATTAGCTGCTGAATTTGCTTTTGAAGAAAACAGTTTTTTCAATTGGCCCTGATCACTGGCCAGGCCAAGGGACCCCACCCATGCACGAATTCATGCACCGGGCCTCTAGTAATAAATATAAACTACTAGAGGCCCAGTGCACAAGATTTGTGCACTGGGGGAGGAGGGTTCCTCAACCAGGCCTGGGGTTAGGCCCCTGGGATCGGTCCTAAGCTGGCAGGCAGACATCCTTCTTGCAGTCCAGGACCCCTCACTCGTTACCACCATCTTGCAGCACCACCATCTTGCAGCACCACCATCTTGCAGCGGAGGCCGGAGATGCTCCCGCCACTGCCACTACCTTCACCAGCAGTGAGGCGGCTTCTGGCTGAACAGAGCTCTCCCTGTGGGAGTGCACTGACCACCACGGGGCAGCTCCTGCGTTGAGTGTCTGCCTCCTGGTGGTGAGTGTCAGAGCGGCCAGTCAGTCGATTTGCAAATTATGCTTTTATTATATAGGATAATGTAGTAAACATTCAACACATATTATTGGGTTCAGTTTATAAGTAGATAAAAAAATGAACCAAAACAGACATTATCCCTGTGTTCTAGACCAGCGGTTGGTTGCCAATCGGTAGTCTGTGGACCACTGGTGGTCCGTGAGGTCCAAAAGGTTGGCGACTGCTGGTCAGACAATGGGCCAGCAGTGTGAAGGCCTGTGGTGGAAGGGAGCATGTTGCATTCATGGGGTTAGTGGTGCGCCCACTGAACTGAATACAGAGACGGGGGTGGGGGGGAGGTGGTCAGGCTATACTAAGGCGGGTCTCATAGGCTACGTTAAAGCTGCCACTCCTTACGAGAAAGATTGGACTGAGGAGCTGCATGATTAGTACCTTAAAGAGGCCAGTCTGGCTGCAGTGGGCGAGTGTGTGGAGGGGATGCAGCGTGATGAGCAGGAGGCTGCTGAGGTGCTCCAGGCGGGAAGTGGTGGCCCAGAGGGGAATGTCAGTGGGAATGCAGAAGAGGGAGGATTTGAAATATTTTGGAAGTAAAAACAAGTTGCTTATAGTTTTGTGTTTGGAACTATTCTGAGGTTTCTGCTTCAGCAGCTTCATGGATTATAGGCCCACTCCCTGCCACTGAGGTCTCTGGAAGAGAGAAATTTGACTTCACTCTTGAACATACTGAGTTGAAGTGCCTTTGAAGGATCCATGTTGGAATGTTGGAATGTACCAACCATGAGTTACGTGGGTCTGGAAAGGATGGGTGGAGACAGGTGTTTGGGACAGTTAATCTCGGTGGACTTGTGGAGATGGGTGACATTGCTCATAGAAGTGGCTCTTAGCATAGACTGCACATTGGAATCTTTTGATTGTTGAAGAAATAACCCCCTCCCCCAGGCTCTGCTTTAACTAATTGGGTGTTGGGCTTCTAGAAGCTCCCAGAGAGTACTGCTGTGCAGTCAAGATTGAGACCCACTCCTGGAGAGCATAAGCTGAGAGAGGAGAGGGGCTAGGACTGAGCCTGGGGGCACACAGTAGAGACCAGTTAGGGGAGGATGAACCTGCCAGGAGACTGCTCTGCTGCCAGAGAGGTGGCAGGGAAACAGTGTGGCTTCAAGGAGGTAAGTGTGGCCTGCAGGGCCTGTTGCTGCTGGGAATTTGGATTTAGCAGTGTGGGCGTGGTTTAGTTCCCGGAGGGGGATGGGGAAGGGCGGTGTTAGTTGGAAGCTTGGAGAGAAGCTAGGTTAGAGCAGATTGAAAAATGAGAATGAGGGAATGGAGACAGCATAGGCAGCTGTTGGAGGTATTTGAGGAGAGGCAGTGAGGAGCAGAAAAGGTGTGCTGTTGTATTGGGATGTTTTGGCTACAAATAACAAAACTCTGATTTAACTGGTTTAAATGGTGAAAAAAACTTACCTTATTCAGAGTTCCAGAAGAAGGAGTTTCAACAGTGTTACCAAAGACCTAGGCTTTTCCCAGCCCACTGAGTGACCTCCGGCTGCCACTGCAGGATGTGAGAAGCTACTATAATTCAGACATCAAACCGGATAGTACAGTCTCCAGCAGAAGGATGACTTTGTTGTAATCTTCAAAAATAAAAATAAAAAAATACTGAAAAGTGTACAGTTCATTAGTGTATAGGTTGAATTTGCAGAAACCAAACAACCGTAACTAGATCACCACCCCAATATCCCAGAAGCCTCCTTGCTCCTAGTCACCACCCACCTCCCCCGCAGGATAACTGCTATGCTGACTTCCAGCACCATTGGTTATTTTTGCCTGTTTTTGTGCAATATAAAAAAAAAATAGTATGTATACAGTATGTGCTCCTTTATGTTTGGCTTTCAGCATTGTTTTGAGATCCATATTGTTGCATGTAAAGTTGTAAAGTGTTCATTATTGCATGAATATACTGCATTTTATCCATTCTGTTGTTGATGGGCATTTGGGTAGTTTCTAGTATTTGGGTTTTATAGGTGGTGACATTGTGAACATGTATACTCATTTCTGTTGAGTGTATAATTAGGGGCAGGGTATCCTTATATTTAGCTTTAGTACAAAATTTCCAATATGGTTGTGTGATTTTACACTCCAACCAGCAGCATATGAGAGTTTCAATTCCATGTCTTCGCTAATAATTATTTTGTGTCATTTCATTTGGACATTCTGGTGGGTGTGTAATGATCTAGTGATATTTAAGTTGAGCATCTTTTCATTTGCTTATTGACTACTTGGATTTTCTCCTTTGTGAAATGCCTGTTTGGATTTTGAGTTGAAAGCCTTTATTTATTAGTAGTTGTTTTTTTTTTTAAAAGATATGAAGTCATTGTCACATATTTGAATTACAGATATTTTCTCTGACTTGCCTTTTTACTCTTGATGTTTTCACAAACAGAAGTTACTAATTTTAATATAGTATAGTTAGCCAATTATTTCCTTTATGGTAAGCATTTTTGTGTTTTGTTTCTAATCTCTGCCAGCACAAAGCACCAGAACATTCTGTTTCTTCTAAAATCTCGACTGTTTAATTTTGGTGTTTAGATTTATAATCCATCTGCAGGTGGTTTCTATATTTAGTGTGAGGTGGGGGTCAGATGATGTGAATGTCCCATTGACATAATATTGTTTCTTAAGACTACCTTTTCTCCATGTCATGTGATGTCACCTTGGTTGTATAGATCAGGTGACTGTAGGTACGGGTCTGTTTCTGATTGCTATATCCCATTCTGTTGATCAGCTCATTTATCTTTAGATAGTGTTTTCTTAAAAACAAAAGTATATAGCCTTTTAGTGGGTATTATGTAGTAGTATGTTACCTAGTTTTGTTCTTGTAATCTCGTTTTCAGAGTGGTGATTCCCCTTAGGTCTCATTTCCAATGAGAAAGCAGGCTGGAGAGCTTTTAACTTTCTACAGCCCACAGGGATTGGGCTTCCGTGCTCGGTCCACTGTAGCTTAGCAGAGGTGTTGTGTGAAAGGCCTGGGAGTTTATTTCTGGAATCTTGCTAATACACAAAAATAGTGCAAAGAACTATACAACGAATAGCACATGGGGCATAGAGTGAGGTGAAGATGAGATGTGTGCAGGAAATGCCCTAGAAATGTAGTTATTCCTGAGTTGTGACTGTGACTCTGGATGCCCTTTTCCCTTTGTTTTACTTTTCTGTATTTTCCAAATTTCCTATAATGGACATTTATGGATGCTTAAAAATTAAAAAAAAAAAAATTTAATTAGGTTATATACGGAAAATTCAAAAAGTACAAATAGAAATGTAAGATGATATATATGCTATATTAAAATAAAAACGAATATTTTATTTCTTGTTTTTCTTCTTAGAAATGCACTTGGTGATGGCAAGAGAGCCATTATTCTGAAGAACAACTGGTCAAAGGTAGGCTTCTTTTATATTTTACCTTGGGCAAATAATGCCATCCAACTTGGAAAAAAATCTAATCACAGGATGTACATTTGTATGTAAAGATGTGGATAAAATAGGAACCTTCAGTTCCATAGTCAGAAAGGAGGCGGATTGTTTTACAGAGTTAGAGAATGGGTTCAGTGAGGCTGCAGGTGTCTGAGGGCACGGGTTGCCTGTAGGCATCTTGAGGCCCTTGAAGGCACTTTAATCATTGAGCTGTCAACATTCCTCTGGATGTATTACAGACTGATTGAAAAGTGAAACGTAAAGCTTAGAAGGAACTATAGAAGATGGTGTTTGTATATAAATTCTTAGAGAAAACACAAATTTGACTTTATCAAACTTAAAAACTCTTGTATGTCAAAACACACCATGAATGAAATCATAATCTGGAAGATCATTTGTCATATATATAACTTATATAATTGATAGGATTTTTATCTAGAATATGCAAAGAGCTAAATAAAAAGCTTGGTAGAAATAGGCCAATAAACAAGCATTTCACAGAAGAATTCTGAATGGGAAATAGAAAAACACTAAGCCCTGTTTCCCAGTCATTAAAATAGTACAGAGACAGAAAAACAAAATCAAGAGAGCAGAATAGAGAGCCTCCAAACAGACGTACATGTACATGAGTTAATAAAACAATGTGATACTGGTTGGGTCCTTCAGATTGGCAAAAATTAATGAGACAATAGCCTTGAGTATTGGTGAGTGTCTGTACCAACCGGAACCCTCGATAAACCAGTGGGTTGAATTGGTTACAAGCACATTGGAGAGCATTATGATGTGCGTACACAGTCATTACTTGATTCTAAGTGTGAACCCAACAAATTTTCTTGCTTATGGGTGTACAGTGAGATGTCCAGGTTGGTCATTGCACCATGTTTTAATGGTGCAGAAGTGCAAATATCTAAGTGTCCATTAATCAAGCAGTGATGATTGTGGTTTTTCACTTTGTTACTAGGATTTATCAGATCTGTCCCCGTCTTGAACATCCATTATTTCTCTGACCTCAGACCTTCTGCTCTCCCCTTTTTTCACTCCCTCATTCACTCTTCGTTAGTCTGTTGCTCTCCTTTCAGTTCCTTAAACATGCCAGGCCCACTCCCCACTTGTACTTGCTCTTCCCTGTGCCTGGAATGAGAGTACCTTCCCCAGAGCATGAGCTGCCCTATGGCCCCCTGGCTTCCTTTGGTTTTCACTGTGGGTCCTTTTCACAGTGAAGCCTTCCCTGGCCACCGTGCTACACGCCAACCTGCCCTTCCTATGGCTCTCCTCTTTCCCTGCTTGACTTTGCTTCTTGGCATTTATTGTTAGTAAACATATTGTACTAGTATGCACTACTTACAGTATGTTGCTTATGGTGTGTGTGTCTCCAGTATAATGTGAGCTCCATCAGGACAGGTTTTTTGTTTGGTTCATTCTTGAATCTGGACTGCCTGACACATACAGGCACTCATTGAGTAATATTTGTTGACTTAGTGAATGAATGAATTGAACACTGGATTGCAGCTTAAATGAATTAACTGGCTTATCAATAGATTTAAAAAACAATATTGAATAAACAAAGCAGTAAAAGTATAATACTCTAGAAAAATATTTATCAAACTCATGATAGTGTTTGCTTCTGGGCAGTGAGAGACAGGAAAGATTAAAGGTACAAAGGAGAGTTCAGCTTTATTTGCATAGTATTATTTCTAGCATTAAAGAATCTGAAGCCAGTACAACAAAATGTTAACAGTTAATTCTGGTGTTTGTTATAGTAATTTATATTTTTCTAAATTATAAAAATAGTCTGAATTTTTTAAAAGAGTTTCATTAAGACTCAGAAAGATTCATGTTTCAGACTTCATTTCTGGCTTTTCATAATTTGCTTTTATTTATTACTAGAGACCCGATGCACAAAGATTCGTGCAAGAATGGGCCTTCCTTATTCTCTCCGACACCGCCTTCGGTCTGGCGGAGCCCCCTTTTCGCTCCGGCATGGAACTGCCTTTCCGCCTTCCCACACTGCCCAGAGGCCCAGAGCAGCTGGGGCGGGGCGCTCGACGCCTGCACATGCAAATTACTCCGCCATCTTTGTTGGGTTAATTTGCATACTCGCTCCTGATTGGCTGGTGGGCGATTCGCAGGTACGGTCAATTTGCATCTTACTCTTTTATTAGTGTAGATTATTTTTAAGTTATTATTTTTTAATCCTCATTCAAGGATATGCTTTTGTTGATTTATTTTAAAAATATGTTTTCATTGATTTTTAGAGAGAGGGGAATGGAGAGGGAGAGAGAAAGAGAGAGAGAGAGAGAGAGAGACACATTGATCAGTTGGCTCCTGTACATGCCCTTTGGTGAATGGGATGACACACAAACCAACTGAGTCACACCAGCCAGTGCCATAATTTGTTTTTAAGCCAGAGTGAGTAGAATCATAGAATTTTAGAGCCTTCAATTTATAATTCAGGTTGTTTAGGGGTGTAAAACCTGGGGATTATGAAATTTCTCAAGTGGACTTCTGCATCCAACTTTTGGAGTCACTTTCTAAATACGTTATTTACAGATAAAGAAATTAAGTCTCAGAAAAGTATAGTGACTTTGCAAGTAAAAGACAAAACTGGATTGAGGGTGATATTTGTTGCTGTTTTCAATATAAGTCATTGTTGTGCTTGAACAGTCTTTGCTGACCTCTGCACCTGGCATTTGGCAACTGCTCCATAAATATTTTCAGAATGAATGGATGGTAGAATTCTTAATATTAAAACTTAGACCATGCTATTGGTTTCCCAGAGATATCTTTTGCTATTTCAACTTAGAAAAAGAGCACTAAAGTTTTAAAATTACTTTGAGTACCTTATTTAGAATGTTTACTCATGACTTGGTTTATCAAACAAAATATTTACTCTTCTTTTTAGAACAGTTATAGATTCACAGCAAAATTAATAGAAGGAAGGTACAGAGATTTCCCATAATCCCATTACCCCACGCACATATATCCTCCTCCATTGCCAGCATTCCCCCATAGAGTGGTGCAGTGTGAAATTGCTGAACCTCCACAGGCACATCATCATCACCCAAAGTCCAGTTTAACTTGGGGTTCACTGCCTTGGTGCTGTACATTCTATAGGTTTGGACAAATTTATAATGACATGTATCACCATTGTGCTTCATAAGGTGTATTTTCATTAAATGAAAGGATAGTTTTCTTGTTTTTTTCCAAATTAGTATTTTTTGTATATTCCTTTGTATTGGACTTATTAGGATGGCATTGGTTCATAAATTACATAGGTTTCAGGTGTAGAGTTCTCTAATACATCAACTGCATATTATATAGTGTGCTCCCCGTCAAGTTTCCTCCCATCACTATACTGTTTACCCCCCTTTATTCTTTTTGCCTCCCCTACCTCCCTTTCCTTCTGGTAATCGCCACACTATTGCCTGTATCTCTGAGGTTTTTGTTTTTGTTTTTTTATCGCATAGAATCAGAATGGTCTTTGTAAAGTGTGCAGAAAGAGGAAACAGCTCTGGCCCCAGAATAATAGATCAGGGTTCTTTGGCCTGTGAGTGAGTGACATTAGGCAAGTTCCTAACCTTTTCACTTGGAAGTCACTGCTCCTGGGGAGATGCTGAGCCTAAAATGGGAGTTTGGTTGGTGAGTAGCTGGCTAGAGGAGAGTTCGTTGCATTAGCCCAGGTTTGATCATGTTAGCTCTCTAGATTAAAATGTTCATGCTTGTTACAGAAGATTTCCCAAAATGCATAAGTGGGGCCAACCAGGGCTGTGGCTCTGTACCAAAAGCAAAACAGAACAAAACCCTGATCATTAGGATTAAGAGGAAATCAGTGGTTTTGGACCTTTTTTTTCTTAAAGCCAACAAGTGCACATAGAGGAAAAAAAAGAATGAAGAGCTGATAAGAGAGCTATGGATAGAGGGCTAGCTGAGCTTACCTTGGGCCCATGCTCCTCTTCAGAGGTGGGAAAGCTGCTGCACTAGCTGACTGTCCTTCCTGCTCTCAAATTCCATGGGTTTCCAAACTGTAAGGAATGTAATCGCGTGGAGACTACTGCTGCCTTGAAGTATTGTGAAACCAATTTGAATTATTTATATGAATGAATTTTATACTTCATTTGGGATAAAATTATTTCACTCTGTAGTAAAATATAATATAGGTAATATTTTTTTCTTTGGGCGTACAAAAAAAATCTCTTTAAGTGAAAATGCTGATCCCTAGGCAGTTGTTAAACATTATTATGAATACTGTTCATCGCTTTTCACTTAGCTCATTTCAGTAATTTTATATCCTGGAGGTATTAACATTTTTATTTATTTTTCATTGGTAGGCTCTAATTAACACTTTAAGTAACTAATCAGATTGCAAATGAAATATTTTTCCTTATTGATTTCCTTTAACTTAAACATATTTTTTGAGAAAAATTAAATTTTATCTTTTTGGAACAGGGTCATTATCGTTACTGTGCTGCTCTTTCTTTGCTGGGAGAATATGACTGGGCCCTGCAAGCAAACATTAAAGCTCAAAAGCTCTGTAAAAGTGACCCTGAGGGAATTAATGACCTAATTCAGCAGCATGCTAAGTTACAAAAACAAATGGAAGATTTGCAAGGTATTTCACCTAAGATTCTTTTCATTTCAGTCGAATTCTTTTAAAACTTTTGAGGGTGGGCTTCTTGGATTAATGGAGGACCATAAATCAATGCTCAGGTGATTTGAATTTACTTTGTTATCTTGGTTGAGTCATTTAAGTTTCCATTTCTGTCTAGAATTATATTAGTGTTATATTCCATTAGGTAATTATAAATGATTGATATTTTATTTTTATTTTTTATTTTTTTTTATTTTATTGATTTTGTACAGAGAAGAAGGGAGAGAGAGAGATAGAGAGTTAGAAACATCGATGAGAGAGTCATCGATCAGCTGCCTCTTGCACACCCATTACTGGGGATATGCCCGCAACCAAGGAACATGCCCCTGACAGGAATCGAACCCGGGACCCTTCAGTCCCCAAGCCGACGCTCTATCCATTGAGCCAAACCGGTCTCGGCATGATTGATATTTTAATTTGAAATATTCAGCAATGAATTATTACATACTCTTGCATAGAAAATATTCCTTCTTGAATTTTGAAATAAATTACATCCTTTTTGAAACAAAATTGTTTTAAAATTATCTCTTTTATTATTATAGTTATTTCCTGAAGAAAAGTCCCTTCAATAGCATTGTTTGGTGTTTTTGCACCAAATTTGTGGCTGATTTTATATATCTCAGTAATTTGCTGTGCAGGCTAGGAATTTACAATCCCTTACTCTACACTCTCAGTGTAGGTCTTTCCTGTTTTTTCTTCTCTGGGTATTTGGTGTCTTATGGAGCAAATGTCATCCAACATAACGTGATCATAAGATTGTGAGCTCCTTGAAACAGGTACCATCTCTGATTCACATTTCTGGAGTGCTGCATTTAGTCAGTGACCACATCCAATGGGATTGCAAATAATGGCTGTAGAACATTTTAACAAGCTCATCAACTAAAAGCATCTCAAAATGTAAAATTGGTTAGGCTTACTTTTCAGTTTTCTGAATTTGAAAATCTTTTACAGTATATGTTATCAATTCACCATTTACTGTGTATGTGATTGATTTTTATAGGCGGAACATCAACTAGGAATCCAGTTAGAGTCTTTTATGAAAGCAGGTAAGTTATTAGGAATGGCTTTGCCCTGTGAGTTTAAGAATTTCTGTGTTTGATGCTTTAGTAGCTAATAGCAACCACAGTGAGGTTGGGGGTGGAGGATGACAGGTGGTATTAAAGTGTTCCTTGGAAAGAACAGGTGACCTGTGAATTGTCAGATGTATTTGCCCCCTCTTTTACTAAACTATTTGCATATGTGTGTATTAGCTATCAGTAGCTTTAGCCTATGGAAAGGAGTGGAGTGATTATAGGATGTTACTGTGTTTGAATGGGACCAGTTTTGGTCATCTGGATGGTCCTGGCAGCAGAGAGCAGGGACACAGCCGTTGCCTTTTAACCCTTAGCCTCTTCTGGAAACAACTGCCTTGAGACTCCCGGTATTTTTTGCAAAGGCTGAGATGCTTCCTGTAGAAATACTAGTAGGCAGCGGATAGACTCAAGTATACTTGCAGTAAAGCCAATAGCACCCAGGGTCTGCTTTTGTTACTGAACAATTAAAGAAGATTAAGCTTTTCCTCACATGCTTAAGATACTGAAGCTGTTAATTTAAAACAAGGAGACTTACTTATTTTAATATTAGGAACCAGAATACACTTCTTGAGCTGTTAATCTATTTTAAGTTTTTTAAATTGTATTTTGGATTTTAATACCAAATGTAAAATAATGTTTATGTATAAGGCCCACTCTCAGAGATAGGGATCTTTTTATTTTATATATATAATTGCTTTTAGAGAGGAAGGGAGAGGGTGGGGGAGAGAGAGAGAAACATCAATGATGAGAGAGAATCATTGATCAGCTGCCTCCCGCACACCCCCCACTGGGTATTGAGCCCACAACCCAGATATGTGCCCTTGACTGGAATCAAACCTGAGACCTTTCAGTCGGCAGACTGACGCTCTATCCATTGAGCCAAACCAGTTAGGGTAGTAGGGATCCTTTTAAAACAATCTTGTTTTCAAGAAAAAAAGGCTGAATTTGCTGGAACTTGTTTCTTTGAAAGTTAACTTTTTTTAAAGAGCATACTGATCAATAGAAATAAAATAATTATTCCTTTTATCCCCACTCAGAGTCTACACACCTAGTCTAACATCACCTGCGTTTAGTACTTCACTTAACTTTGTAGAGATTGAAAGAGATTCCGAAGAAAGCTACCACGAAATGGCATACGGTAGCAATCAACATCTAACGGTAAGCTCAGTTAAAAACTAAAAATGAAATTATTTCCAGTATCGTCTCATATGTTTGCAATAATATTTTGGTAAAAGGTGAAATTGAATATCTTGTTGATATGAACTTTTTTTTGCCTATTGATATAAAGAGAATGATTCTATCTTTTAAATAAATATTTGGGCTACCTCCTATAATTACATAAAAATAATATTTTATCTCGGCCCAAGATGTTTCTGCAGCCTCTGCTGCTCCTCACCGTAGCCAAAGCCCTTGACTCTGTGCTGTGCTCAGCTGAACCTTGGTCTGATAGCTTCTTAGGCACTGCTAGGCCTCTGGCCTGGTCCTGGCACCAGGGTCTGAGGCAATCTGCACCTGAGTTTTTTTCTGAACTGTAGTGTGCTCAAAACTTAGCAGATATCACCAAGTCCACATTTACATTTCCCTCCAGTGTACGATGGGGAAAAGGAAAATGGTGTCTTGGGTTATGTGGGAGCCCCTTTCAAGTCCCGCGTGGTTCAGGATTCTGGTTCGGGTTTGGGTTCTGGAGAAGGCCGCACACAAATGAAAGAGACTAGAAAAGTATTAATTTGGGAATATTGGGGTCCAGGTGGGAGTCCACTTCTAGGGGGAAGACTACACACTGCTCTGGCCTTGCTATCCTTTTTATTGAGACTATGGGATACACCCATAGCCCTAAGGCAGGGAACTTCAGTAACAGAAATACATAAGACAAACAGAGGTGGAGGCTGCTTCAGCTGGCAGTATTTCAACTACACAGTGAGTGGTTAGAGCAATTAAGGTTGTTGACCAGCTTCCCGGCTTCCTGTCCACGTCTCTCTATTAGTGAAACAGTGATTGGTTTCCGGCAGGGTTGATGGATAGTAGTCATTGGAGAGAACTTTTTAAACCCACTTTGTAGTTATATTTGTTTGTTAATAATATCCGAGGATATTATTTTCATTGATTTTAGAGAGAGTGAAAGAGAGGAAGTAAGGGAGGGGGAAAAGAGAGAGAAATATCAATGTGAGAAAGACACATTGATTGGTTGCCTCCCGCCAAGCCCCAATTGGGGCCAGAGATCAAACCTGGGACCCAAGTATGTGCCCTGGACTGGGAATTAAGCCCATGACCCTACAGTGCACAGGCAGATGCTCTAACCACTGAGCAACACCAGACCAGAGCATAGTTCTTTTGTTAATAATGAAAATCTCAGAGAAGCTGTGTTCATTTAGGGAGAGCAGCCTCAGGAAAGATGTGATAGTACTGACTCAGTACTGAACAGTTGCCCTGCCTGGCCTCATGCTAGGTGTCAGAAATGGAATTGTCATTGGAAAATTTATCATACCATAATCTGTTATCATCAGTTATCATTTTGTGTGTTTATTCACTTAAACTTAATAACCACCTCGCTATGTTAGGCACTTGAATAAATTTTGTTATAATCCACTTTTATTATTTAGCTATCCATGTCTCTGTCTTTCACTTTTTTCCTTTTGTAAGTCTCACTAATTTTATTTTCATGGGTAGGTGGCAGATGAAGCTTTGAATATAGATGATGGTGACTGTCATCCTGAATTTCCACCACCATCAGGTGAGTTTTTCCCTGTAAGTCGATGCTGAGTCCATGTGGTGGTGTCTAAACTTCTGTGCCCCCAGATTCGCACAAGCCTCGCTTATATCTGCTCTTGCTGTCCTTTTACTTCGCAGTGCTTCTGTGTTAAAACATTGGTTATTCATTTGAAACCAGTATTCAGTCTTTTCATGTTATTTAATCTAATTTTGGAGCTCCAACTAAAATTGATGGAAAGGAAAGATGAAACTCTACGTGGCTTGCTATCTAATTTCTATTTGGCAAGGTGTTTTTTTCCTAAATATATATTTTTATTGATTTCAGAGAGGAAGGGAAGGGAGAGAGAGATAGAAACATCAAAGATGAGAGAATCATTGATCGGCTGCCTCCTGCACCCCTCACCCCCAGTAGGGATCATGCCTGCAACCCAGGCATGTACCCTTGACTGGAGTCAAACTTGGGACCCTTCAGTCCGTAGGCTGATGTTTTATCTTCTGAGCCAAACTGGCTAGGGCAGTGGTCAGCAAACTCATTAGTCAACAGAGCCAAATATCAACAGTACGATTGAAATTTTTTTTTTTGAGAGCCAAGTTTTTTAAATTTAAACTATATAAGTAGGTACATTGTTCTTAACTTAGTTAGGGTACTCCTAAGCTGGCCTTTGCTAAAAACTATAGGAGCAAAAGAGCCGCATGTGGCTCGGGAGCTGCAGTTTGCTCTGACTTGCCTCTGCATCTCTCCCCAAAGCTCCCATCCGATTCCCCTGACCCCATTGCTGTGCCCTCTTCTGCACAACTTTGCATGTCTGTCCCCGACCAGCAGCACAAGGCTCCCTCCTCCTGCCAGGGACAAGGCTGAGCTCATAGAGCTGGAGGAGCAAGAGGAAGCACAGGGCCTGTAATTCAGTATTTCCTTTTCTTCTTAATGGGATTGCTGTTTAATTATTGCAAGAAATGTCTTTTTCTGTCATCTAATTGTAAACTACCTGAAAACAGAAACTTAGTCTATCTCTCTGTGTCTGCTCTAGGCTTACATAATAATGACCATTATAATTTATAATTATTTCATAGCATACATAGACAAACATCATCAGTAGCTTATTTTTTTGTCTTACCTGTTTGTAGTTAATGCTCACAATATTACTTCCTTTGCTCTCTTATACAGTTTACTTAGTTTTTATTTTACTTTCATGCTCATAGATTATTATGTCCAGATTTCAGGAACAAATACTTTTGTATTCACAGGCCAGTCTCCAAAACATAAAGGAAAACAAAAATCTCGAAACAATGAGTTGGAGTTCAGGTATGTTTTTATCTAAGATACTGTTTTTTCTCCTAATGTCCTCCTTCCGAGAAAAAAAAAAATAAATCTCTTTCAAGTAGTAGCTACCTTTATGTATGTATATTATACCTCAAGTCCTTTTCAAATACCAAAGGCATGTCTTTTGGAGACCATCATTTTTTACTAGAGCAGTGGTCAGCAAACTCATTAGTCAACAGAGCCAAATATCAATAGTACAATGATTGAAATTTTTTTTGAGAGCCAAATTTTTTATTTATTTTATTTTTTAATATATTTTTATTGTTTTTTTTTACAGAGAGGAAGAGAGAGGGATAGAGAGTTAGAAACAACAATGAGAGAGAGTCATTGATCAGCTGCCTCTTGCACACCCCCCACTGGGGATATGCCCGCAACCAAGGTACATGCCCTTGAGCAGAATTGAATCCAGGACCTTTCAGTCCACAGGCCAATGCTCTATCCACTGAGCCAAACTGGTTTTGGCAAGAGCCAAATTTTTTTAAACTTAAACTTCTTAATGCCACTTTTTCAAAATAGACTCGCCCTGTCCATGGTATTTTATGTAAGAGCCACACTCAAGGGTCCAAAGAGCAGCATGTGGCTCATGAGCCACAGTTTGCCAACCATGGACTAGAGAATTCTGAATCCTGGATGTTAATACTGATTTCTGAAAGTCATATTACAGATATATTAGTATTAATTTTTTTAAAACTCCAAAATACTTGGTCATAAGAGGAAAAAATATTCAGAGAAGTATAAAGTACAAATTAGTTGCCTTCCCTATTCAACTTACTGCATTTCCCACACTTCTCCAGTAGCTTCCTATAGGAACTCACTGCTAGCCATTTGTTAGCCACCGGGAAGCTCACTCTGCACACACAGGCATGGGTATGTGTATAGTCTGAGCCCCTTTGGAGCAGTTATCACTGGAGGAAAATATTAATGAACCAACCACTTATAAAATCCATTCTACCAAACATGCCCCTTAAAGTTAATGGTAGGAACTCTTACCACTTATCTTTATAGTTTATCCCCCATCGCCTACAAAATAGGAATTGCCTGCAGAGTGGAATTGTCAGTCGTACAGTAGATACAGAAGTTTGTGAAGTTAATGAAAAATGATGCTGGGCAAGCTGCAAATCCATTTCTGCCAATTATATCAGTTGTCAGTTTTTTCTTCATTTCCTAAGGCTGATTCCTCAATAGATTCTTCAAAGAGAATGATTTGAATATCAAAGCACTAAGAGGAATGAGTAAAGCCCAATTTTTTTTTTTTTTTAAAGACCATTTTTTCATGCTGCTGCAAAGTAAATACAAAGCAAAGGCATAGAATATTATGTAATTCTACTAGCGGCCCGGTGCATGAAATTTGTGTATGGGGTGGGGGTTGTCCCTTAGCCCAACCTGCACCCTCCTCCATCTGATACCGCTCAAAGGATGTCCGACTGCCTGTTTAGGCCCAGATCAGGCCTAAATGGGCAGTCGGACATCCCTCTCACAATTCAGGACTGCTGGCTCCCAACCGCTCGCCTGCCTGCCTGCCTTATTGCCCCTAACCACTCCCCTGCCAGCCTGATCAACGCCTAACTGTTCCCTTGTCGGCCCGATTGCCCATAACTGCCCTCCCTTGCCAGCCTGGTCCCCCTTAAATGTCTTCCCCCTGTAGGCCTGATTGTCCCCAACTGCCCTACCTTGCAGGCCTGGTCCCTCCTAACTCCCCTGCCCCTGCTGGCTTGATCACCCACAACTGCCCTTCCCTGCAGGCCATCTTGTGGCGGCCATCTTGTGGCGGCCATTTTGTGGTGGCCATGTTTGATCACATTTGGGCGGCCATCTTGTGGCGGCCATCTTGTGGCGGCCATCTTGTGGTGGCCATGTTTGATCACATGAGGGTGGCCATCTTGTGGCAGCCATCTTTGACCACATGAGGGTGGCCATCTTGTGTGTGTGCATGTGGCTCAAGAGCTGTGGTTTGCCATCCCCTGGGCTAGGGCAGTGGTCAGCAAACTCCTCAGTCCACAGAGCCAGATATCAACAGCACAACGATTGAAATTTCTTTGGAGAGCCACATTTTTTAAACTTAAACTTCTCCTAACGCCACTTCTTCAAAATAGACTCGCCCAGGCCGTGGTGTTTTGTGGGAGAGCCACACTCAAGGGGCCAAAGAGCCGCAGGTGGCTTGCGAGCCGGAGTTGGCCAACCACGGTTCTAAGGAATTAATCTGAACTGGGGTCACGGGAACCCTGAATTTGTAATTGGCTCGGCAGAATTGTGGGTAGCTTTAGCACCCTGGTGTGGATGGTCTGAGGTGAAGGCACCTGTGGGGCCTCCATTGACTCCAGAATTAATGTCAAAATTGAATTGTTAGACATTCAGTTGGTGTGGAGAATTGGTGTTAAAAATGATAGGCATCTGGTATCAAAAAAACACACCCATCTGGTGTTAGAAGTGGTGTCAGAAGACAGAGAACTGCTCTTTCTTCCCCTCACCAGCACTGGGTCCAGGCTTTCTGAAAGGTTCTCTCTTATTAGATTTCCCAGGAGGGGGTCACCTGTGCAGCATTTATAGGGCACACTGCTTGTTTCGGGGCTGTGTTGTCATAGATAACTGTAGATTGATAATAACTGGAGAGTCAGCACACACACATTCCCCTTCATTTGTTTCTTTTTTCAAAAGTTCTTTTTTCTCTCTTATAATTAATTTATCTGGCCTCTCTCTAGTTGTAATTTTATAGGGGTTTTTTATTGAGATTCCATTGGATTTAGAGATTAATCTGAGGAGAAATGGCATCATAGTTACATTTCTGTTCAGGATCTTGTGACTTATTACTCACTGTTTAAAATGACTTCAGTAAAAGTTTTTTGTGTTTTTTTTTTATCTAGCAGACTTTTATTTTAAATAATTCAACACAACACTCTTCTCTTTTAGCTGTAGTTCACAAGGGAACTTTCCAGCAGATTTGAAAAACCTCTTGGACAAACAGTTCTCTAAATCTTCCAAAGCTGCACACCAGGTACAGAAAAGGCTTTCCCACAGAAAAAGCAACTCTGGGACAAACCGCTTTTCAGGAGAGCCCAATTTACCCACGTACATCTCTAAGATTTGTTTGTTAGACTTTTATTTGCGGGCATGTTATTTAAGATGTGACTGCTAAGTAACAAACTTTATTAATTTACAAACTAACCTTTCAGTTATGTTAACCAGAGATTAAAGTAGCGATTGACACTGAAATTGTTGCTTCCCAAAGGAAACAATTTGTTTCTTGTCCTGTTCGCAGGACTTTGCTAATATAATGAAAATGCTGAGGAGCCTGATCCAGGATGGGTACACAGCTCTGCTGGAGCAGCGGTGCCGCAGTGCGGCCCAGTCCTTCTCGGAGCTGCTCAACGGCCTGGATCCGCAGAAAGTAAAGGTAGGATTGCCTCTCCTAACTCGGCAGCAGTGCTGAGGGCTCCAGATGCAGGCGGAGGAGAACCAGGGCTCTCACTTACCTGTCACCAGGGACCTTTGCCGCGCGGGGAGCGCGTGAGGAACAGGGTGCGCGCTGACCCAGCCTGCATGCCTGCGTTCGCCGTGCCACTCTCTCCTTGCTCTCCAGTCGGTGTCCCTTGGGCCTCCTGCCTTCTCTCTTGATAAACTATGAAAGCAAGGTTGTGGACCAGTTTTAATCACATGTTCTCATTCAGAAAGAAAGTGATAGCGAGGCAAATACTTTATACACGCCTTGTAAGGCAGCAAATAAATGTACCCACGAACATTCAAAAGAGAGTCACTTCTGTTATTCTATTATGAACCACGCCTTCAAGGAACTCCGAGACAGTGAGTCTGTGTTTTAGATACTTGATAGCAGTCTATTTTTGCAAAATGTATTTTCTAATTCAGTTTGACCTATATCAATCATAGCAGTGAGCGAGATTTTTATTACACTTTTTTTTCTGTTGTGGCTCATAGGTTGGTATGATGCAAATTGGGCAGAATTAACTTCAGATTTTTAACTGAAACATTTTTATTGACAGCAATTGAACCTGGCCATGATTAATTATGTCTTAGTGGTGTACGGACTTGCTATTTCTCTCCTTGGAATAGGACAGCCTGAGGTAAGATTTGTAACAGAAATAATAACTAAAATATGTCATTGATTTTATAAGATATGTAAACACAGTTGTTTTCCCATATGCGCTTATTTCCATCTGTATACTTTCTTGCTGATTTTTTCTGAAATGCCTAAGTTTAATTTAGTTTGTGTTATTTTTTGAAAAGAAATTTTATTTTGTATTCTCATTAGAAAAAAGCTGTCAGATAGCCAGCAGAAATCTACTTTTTGTATGAAAAGTAAAGGACATAATGATAGATTTCAGAAACATGCTGAGGGATAAAGGCAAGTTGGAGAACATAAACATCGTGATACCACTGAGGTACTATTTAGAAAATACACATCGAGGGCTGGCTGTGCGTCTTGTAACGGTTACAAACATGAACTAGCCCTACATCAAATTTAAGGTAATGGCTGCTTTTAGTGATGGAGGAAAGGAGCGGGCCTGGGGAGGTTAGGAAAGAGAGTTCAATTTTGTTTTATTTTATTTTTAACATAAAAATGACAATATAGTATATTTTGTTCTGGGTGGTGAGTACTTGGATATTTTTTATTTTCCAGATTGTAGTCTTTCCATAACCACATAGTTATACTGGGTTTTTCAGGGGTTTTTTGTTTGTTTTTTTTAAAGATTGAAATGGCTCTAGAATTATCTCAGGTGTAATATTCTTTTGCTGCCAATATGGGCTCCTAACTTCCTTGGCTAGATGAAGGCTTAACTCTTAATTGCTACTTAATGAGGAGCAAGTCATTTTTTATGTTCACTCGCCCAGTGGCCCGCAGTGCCTGCAGTTCATTTTCCTAGTAGTCTGCTTCTTTCCTTGTTCTGGTTGTGACAGGTGAATATCTTCCATTAAGACCTGCCCATTGTTTAGATTGTTGGAGACAAATTTCATGATCTCAATTCTTTTATTCTTGGCAGAGCAATAATAAAGATTTTATGTTTGCCTTTTTGGAATTGAAGAGATAGTTTATTGCATTTGTGATTTACTTTGAAGTAGTGAGACTGATCACAGAAATTAAACAATGTGATGAAACTTGAACCTTTAAAAGAATTTAATTATTCAGAGTAGCCCCAGCCAGAAGGAAGCGATATACTTACTCCAGTACAGCCCTTGCTTAAGTCACGTTTGCCATGCCTCCTTTGGAACTGGCCTCAAAGCTTCTAAAGAGCTCCATTTTGTGGTGACATTTCTTTTCTCAACCACAATGCGGTTAGCAGTGTTGCCTGGATCTAAGTGTCTTTAGATTTTTTTCAAAACAAAATTTATGTAAAGCAGAGGTTTCTACAGTTGGAATATTCAAAAGAACACACTTCTGTCTGTGAAAGTGTTACTTAAGAGCTGGTTTTATAGTTGAACATTTATCTGCCTGATGCCACAAAGCATGTAGCAACCTCATTGGCATGCTGTTCCCCTAAGGAGACAGCACTCACCAGGATACATGCACTGTGTCATTGTGCACATCAGTCTCTTCACCGTGCAGTCACACTGTGTGGTGTCTGCCAGCACCGTGGGCCTCTGTCTGTGGGTGTAAACGCTCATCTGGTTGGTGATTGGACATGTTCAGTGCCAGCTTTTCATTCTGAAGCTGAATCACTTTGGGTGTGAGTATCGTACATATGGTCACAATTTATAAATTGCTAAGAAAATGAAATCTGGAAGGTATAATTTTGCCAAAGAAGTTTTGGACAGATAGTTGTTTTTAATATTATACCAAAAGAATCAGCCTTCAGATAAAGTCACTTCCAGCATTTATTTTTTGAGTGATTATTATTCTTACTGCCTTTGAAGGAATTATCTGAAGCTGAAAACCAATTTAAGAGGATGATTGAACACTACCCCAATGAGGGCCTTGATTGCTTGGCTTTCTGTGGAATTGGAAAAGTGTACTTGAAAAAAAACAGGTTAGTAGATGTCCTAATAAAATAAAATAAAATAAATTTTAAAGAATTTCTATATAGTGATTTTCTATAGTGAATTTCTATGCAGTGATTTATCAAATGTATTACATATATACGCACACACACACGTTTTATTGATTTCAGAAAGAAAGAGAGCAAGAGAGAGAAACATCAATGATGAGAGATAATCATTGATTGGCTGCCTCCTGCATGCCCCCGCCTCCCCCAGGGGAATTAATTTGTATGTGCTCTGACCCGAAATTTAACCATGACCTCTTGGGTACATAAGTCTACACTCAACCACTGAGTCACATTGGCTGGGCTCAAATATACTCTTACTAGTTATCTTGAAATCTCTGACTTTTATTATGGGAATGAAAATTCATGTAACATGTTTAATACCTTTTTTCTTCATTATTATGACTAGGTTTCTAGAAGCTCTTAATCACTTTGAGAAAGCAAAAAACCTGATTTGTCGACTCCCTGGAGTGCTAACTTGGCCCACAAGTAATGTGGTTATTGACGAGACTCGGCCGGGGAAAATAAAGGTAACCATTTCTTTCTGCAGAGAGCTTCTCACCAACTGCAAAAGCCCGCCTTCACTGGCTGGTTCAGGTGTCAGAAGGCAAGAGACAGCATTCTGGCTTCAACTCCCCCACGGGTGCTTCCCCTTTAAGGACTAGGAGAAGTACTAACATATACAAAATGTTTTCTATTGCCAGTCACACACCTGTCACTTTCATTGCCTTCAGTCCTCCCAACAGTACTACAGATGAGTACTATGATTTATCCCAATTTTATGGAGGGGGAAGATTAAGTGTAGAGAGGTTAGGTAATGAGCTCACGGTTAAACAGCCGGGAAATGGTGGAGCTGGTCTTGAATCCAGGTGCTCTGACTTCATTGTGCATTCTTAAGGCATGCAGTCCTTAAGAAAGGGGTAGCATTGCTGTTTCATCATGTTACTGCTGTTACTGAGGGGTACTTAAAAACTCAGAAAGTGTAAATTTAGTCTCAAATCCAGAAGCAGAGGATGCTTTGCTAGCTTTTGAAAGACTAAATTATGTATAAATTGATTAGGGTAGGCCTTTGGTTGTGGAGAACCTGGTCATGTACTAAGAACTGGCTTTTGACCAAAGCTTTTCAAAGAATAGGGGTCAACTTTCACAACTCAATGATAGAAAGACAAACTCACCAAAACTGGTTTGGCTCAGTGGATAAAGCGTCGGCCTGCGGACTGGAAGGTCCTAGGTTCGATTGTGGGTCAGGGACATGTACCTTGGTTGCGGGCACATCCCCTACGGGGTGTGCAAGAGGCAGCTGATCGATGTTTCTAACTCTCTATCCCTCTCTCTTCCTCTCTGTAGATAATCAATAAACTATTATATTTTAAAAAAGGAGGACAACTAATCTAATTAAAAAATAGCCTAAGGATGTGAATAGACATATCTGTCAAGAAGCTATACAAATAGCCAATAAGCACGTGAATGGTGTTCAACAACATTAGCTACCAGAGAAACACATTAAAACCATAGTGAGATACGATTTCACACCCATTGGGTTGGTTATCCTCAGAAAGCAGCTAAGAATAAGTGTTGATGAGGATGTGGTGAAGCCAGAACCTTCCTGTGTTGGTGTGGGCATTTATCTAGAACGGTGCTGCTGCTTTGAGAAAATAGTCTGGCACTTTCTCGTGGGTTAAAGAATAGTTATCCTGCCAAAACCGGTTTGGCTCAGTGGATAGAGCGTCGGTCTGTGGACTGAAAGGTTCCGGGTTCGATTCCGGTCAGGGGCATGTACCTTGGTTGCGGGCACATCCCCAGTAGGGGGTGTGCAAGAGGCAGCTGATCGATGATTCTCTCTCTTTGATGTTTCTAACTCTCTATCCCTCTCTCTTCCTCTCTGTAAAAAATCAATAAAAATATATTAAAAAAAGAAAAAAAAGAATAGTTATCCTGTGACCCAGCAGTCCACTCCTGGATATATACAGAGATAACACGTTTTCACAAAAGCTTGTACATGAATGTTCATAGCAACATTATTCACAGGAGGCAAAAAGTGTTCCATCAACTGATGAATGGCTAAATAAAATACAACCTATTTATACAATTGAATGTTATTCAGCCCATAGAAAGGAATGAAGTACCCACATGCTACAACATGAGCGAACCTCAAGAACATTATGCTAAGTGAAAGAAGCCAGACACAAAGGCAACAGATTTTAGGATTCCATTTATATGAAACTAGAGATCTGGTGTATGACATTTGTGCACTCTAGGGGGTGTCCCTCAGCCCTGCCTGCACTTTCTCGCAGTCTGGGACCCTTGGGGTATTTCTGGCTCTGGGGAGTGGACCTAAGCTGGCATTTGGACATTTCCTAAGGGGTCCTTAGCACTGCCGCAGAAGCGAGAGAGGTTCCTGCCACTGCTGCTACATTCGTCAGCCATGAGCCCACTTTCTGACTGAGCGGCGCTTCCCCAGCTCAATGTAGAAGCTGCCCTCTGGTGGTCAGTGCAGGTCATAGCGACTGGTCATTCCACTGTTTGGTCAATTTGTATATTACGGTTTTATTATATAGGATCTCTAGAACAGGCAAATCTACATAGACACAGGAAGTAGACTAGTGGTTGGGAGGAGCTAGGGATTGAAGGAAATGGGGAGGAGTTTCTAATGGGGATGGGGTTTCTTGTTAGGTGATGAAAATGTACATTTAGACTGAAGTGATGGTCGTACAACCCTGTGTATGTACTAAAAACACTCTTTAAATATGTGAATTGTAATCGCTTCTCGGCCTTTTGGCTAAGATCAAGTGTAGTATCTGTTCTTATCAGTTTAATAAATATGTGAATTGTATGGTAAGTGAATGATATCTTACCCCAAGCTGCTATTTTTTTTTAATGAAGCTGCTATTAAAAAATTGTAAAACAAATGATCATTGGATATTTTTCTTTAAACTTTAAATTGGGATGGAGGCACGGGAGCTATTGATAACAAAGGTTTAGGAGCAGTGGGATTGTTGTCAGGGCAAGAACCAGCACAGATAGCAGGGGCTCCGGGCGGAGGCAGGTGCTAGGATCTCAGATGAAGCGAGCGCCCTAGGGATCAGGAGCAGAGTAGCGTCTGAGGGGGTTTCACCTTAGGATTCCCTCTGGAAGCACACAGTCAATCGTATGATTAAAGGAGATTCCTAAGAGTTACATTATACAGTGAGGTTTGATGGTTACAACAGGTAAGATTTTGATTCTGACTTTGAAATTCTGAAAACCTTTTTTTGTTCTTACCCTCTTCTCTTTCCCATTCCATTTTCTATGGACATGTCTCTGTATCAGTCTCCATTAAAAAGTGGTATGTAGTTTGTACTTGGCTAAACATTTAGTTATTTCTAGAATGAAAATATTTTGACAGCAAGAGGTTATTAAAATCAAATGCATTTTGATTGATGAACAAATGTTGTAATAGTATCTTTTTTGTTTTAGATGATCTTAGATAAATTTATTGAAGAATGCAGGTTCCCTCCAGTGCCAGATGCTGTTTGTTGCTATCAGAAGTGCCATGGATATTCCAAAATCCAGATATACATCTCAGATCCAGACTTTAAGGTAAGGCACGACTGTGCACTGGGACAGTAACTTGCACAGTTGTGCCTCACAATGAATTTAGAACCAATCCTGTAATTAGAGGCACCCAAGTTCTCCAGGGTGCCAGCAGTTTATGTCCTATGGTCCATCCCTTCCCCTCGACTTCTTTAGGTCTGCATCATCTCACCTGGGAACCCAGAGCCACTGAAATCAACACTGAGGGCCGGCTGGCTAATTCCGTTTCCCCTTTCTAGCCTCTGTGCCATCAACTGCCTGCTCCTAGGGGCACAGGAAACAAAATGAGATTATTACCTCTGATTTGTTGTAATTCTCTCTCTTGTAAAATTGGACTCCAATAACCTAAAGGCCATTGTTGATCACTGAATTGACTCTCAGAAACATAAATTTGAGATCAAGTCTGGCACATAATTAAGTGAATAAGTTACTGGGCCTTAGTTTATTCAAGAAGATAATAAGCTGCTCATTGTGGCACTGTCCCTGATTAAGCTGAGATGAAATATTGTTTATAAAATATTTTATACACTAAAGAATAATGCATCTGTAAGCTATGAAAGAGAATATGTCAGTCAAGCATGTATCTTTGGCACTAGGCATTCTGGGGTACAGAAGTAGTATGCTTCCCCATAAGGAAATGTATTTAATTGTGTGTACCAGGTGAATGCAAACAGCTTTCTCTTTATCTTAATATGCTTAGTGAGTTAGAGGTGGGGGAGGGGGGAGTGTATGTGTGTGAGACAGCACCTTTAAAATGTGAATTAAACATTTTTTTAACTCCCCCAGGGTTTTATACGAATCAGCTGTTGCCAGTACTGCAAAATAGAATTTCACATGAACTGTTGGAAGAAGTTGAAAACAACAACCTTTAATGATAAAATTGACAAGGTAAGACTAATAAGATTGGGTGTTTTTATTTTTTTTAATATGTTTTTAATGATTTCAGAGAGGGGGAGAAAGAGAAGGAAACATTAATGATGATGAGAGAATCATTGATAAGCTGCCTCCTTCACACCCCACACTGGTGATGGAGCCCATAATCCAGGCATGTGCTCTGACTGGGAATCAAACCATAACCTCCTGGTTCATAGCTTGACACTCAATTACTGATCCATGCCAGCTGGGCACTGTGGTGGTGTGTTTTGTGTGTGTGTGTGTGTCTGAATAGAAGTTGCCTGGTACATGTTCTTGTGACAGAGGATAAAGATCAAGGGCCTTCAGCATTTCTTAAGCTTTTTTGGGGACGTGCTTGGTGTATGTCCTGTCAGCTCTCCTTGCATTGACCAAGCAAGTCATTCCTTCTGCAGGGATTCTCTGCAGATCCCATGGCAATGAGCAGGGACTCTCAGTGTGCCCTGGAGGAGGTTTCTGATGCTGTTATAACCATTCCTGATGGTTATAATAGTATACATCTTTAGGTTTGTTCTGATATACAGCACTCTTTTTTTTTTTTTTTTTTTTTTTTAATCAAATAGGATTTTCTACAAGGAATTTGTCTTACCCCTGACTGTGAAGGTATTATTTCTAAGATTATCATCTTCAGCAGTGGTGGTCAAGTTAAATGTGAAGTAAGTATTTAATTAAGGGGAAATCTTACTAAGTTGACAATGAGAATGCTTATACCTTTTAAAGCATGATTTAAATTTATGGAAATTGTATGATTTGGATTTTGTTTTTTCCAGGAAACAGTTACTTAATTCAGATAATATACGAATGATTAGGATGAGAGAATGCTTCTTTGCTATAAAGGATTCTGACATTCTTTTATTTCCTAACAGGAAAAGGAGGCTTTTACAGTTTAGTTTTACTGTTGTCACTCTTTTTATAACCTTGTTATCTTTATTCCTGGTAAACTTCTGGTATTTGAGGGTGAAGGTACTTAGAGAGGGGAGGAGTGTCTTGAGGGATTACCTTTATCTCTTCTCTATGGAAATGGCAAGAGTAGGTTGTTATAAAGATACTAGGGGCCCAGTGCACGAATTCATGCACCTTGAAAGCAACTGTGGCCTGCGGGGCTGCAGTGGGCACAGGGACAGGTCTTGGCCCATCCTCGTACCCCTGCCAGGCCCCTCCTGCTGTGTATGTCTGCCGGCAGCCCTGCTCTGGCACTGGTACCGACAATGGGTGCAAGCAGGCGCTGCTGTCCCGATCGCCCCACGGGAGCTGGGGGAGGTGGAGAAGCCCTCAGCGGCGATCAGAGCCAGCATTGGGTGCCAGTGCCTGGCAGAATTGTGGCATACGGGAGCAAAGAATTGCCCTGCCTTGGTCTGGCACCCTTGTTCACCTGCTCCACCATCCCACCACAGCCAATGGCCGCCATGTTTCACATGCACCCCCTGGGGGTCAGTGCACGTCATAATGACCAGTTGTTCGGTTGTTCCACCATTCAGTCTATTTGCTTATTAGGGTTTTATTCATATAGATTTGTAGTATATTTTATCTCTGCTTACTTTTAATTTAAAAAACATTTCTTGCTAAAGTGTATGTTCTCTCATTTTTCTTTTTAATACATTATTTTACTAAAGTTTTCTGGGCTTTTGTCTGGGTCAGAGCATCATCACTGTTCTCTGCCAAACTCACCATTGACTGTTTGTGCTTCTGAAGTGCTTGTTTCTTGTGGTTTTGTGCTTTATGTCCTGAGAGTATGAGACAAATTTCTGGTATCTTTGTTTTATTTAAAGTTTGAACACAAAGTCGTAAAAGAAAAGAAGGTTCCTTCAAAACCTATTCTGAAACAGAAATGTTCTAGGTAAGATTTCTAACAATCCATCACTAGCTTCATGATGTCTTTTACAATATAATTCTATTATGTACAGATTTTTAAATTATGCTGTTTTTGAATTGGCTATACACACATGTCCAATTAAGTGGTTTTTTAATGTTTTTTATGGATATTTAAAATTTAAAGAGAACTAGCCTGGAATGGTTAATAATGAAACTTGAATCATACCCTTATTTAGTGGTTGAATTTACAAGTAAAATTATGACATTTGATGTTGTAAAATTACATTTGATTAATAGATTTAGCATTTAGATAAAAATTGTATACTTAGCTCTCAGTTGTTTAAACTTTATTTCCAAAAGCATAGTTTCTCTATTCAGCAAACATTTTGAACCAGTAACTTATTTCTCACACTGAAATACTTAATGTACTGTCAAAATTATTTCCTTCCTTGTATCCTCTTGTTCAGATCAAATAATTTCAATGGTTTTTTTGCTTCTCTTTTTGGTCCTGCCTCTTGTTTTCCATTCTAATAAGTGATTTTTTTCATCCTTGGTGATCAAGAAAAAGCAAAAGAAAAGAGGAACAGACTTATTTGTTGAAGAGAATTCATTTTAACCATATTAACCAAATTCTATAGTTGTGGGCCATTATTGGGAAGTGAAAATAATAGTTTACTGTGGGATCTTTTTTTTGAAGTAAGAGTGTACATGTATTATCTTGCTGAATAATTTTTTTAAAATATATTTTTTATTGATTTTTTACAGAAGGAAGAGAGAGGGATAGAGAGCTAGAAACATTGATGAGAGAGAATTCTCAATCAGCTGCCTCCTGCACACCCCCTACTGGGGATGTGCCTGAAACCAAAGTACATACCCTTAACCGAAATCAAACCCGGGACCTTTCAGTCCGCAGATCGATGCTCTATCCACTGAGCCAAACCGGTTTTGGCGCAGAATAATTTTTATTTTTCTTATTCACTTTAAGCAGTAACTTGTAAACATGGAAAGAATATCTGCGCCATCTATACATGCCATCCGTAACTAAGTCATTCAGTCCCCTGAGGCCCTTGTTTTCATGAAACAAGTGCTGTTAGTTTGACTGCATTGACCACATAGCAACAGCTTTTGATACTGAACAAAAGGTGCAGACTGAACTCTGAGTAGAAAGGAACACTTCTATCTTACTGTTTAGAGAATGCTTTCTATAGAAGCCAGAGGAAAATAGTTGCATTTATAACAGGTGAATTATCACTAACTGTAAATGTTTATCAGCCTAAAGAAGCTAAGACTGAAAGAAGACAAAAAACTGAAGAGAAAGATCCAAAAACAGGAAGCAAAAAAATTAGCACAAGAAAGACTGGAAGAGGATTTACGGGAAAGTAATCAACCCAAAACGGAAGAGCCTAAAGGTATGCTGGAGTCCAAGGCATCATAACGATAATGTGTTCTCGCTTCAACTAGAAATGTGAATACTCATCTTACTAGGACTTATTATAGGTTAATTGTACTGAATTGAAATTTAGGTTTCAGTTAATACTTTAATACTGTCACAGGTGCGGATGGGACACAGGGCACTGATTTTGGAAGTGGTATACAGAGATTCAAAACACTACATGCCACCAACCTGGGGCAGACTGTACCTTTACTCATTGCTGAACTGAAGGTGGAAATAATGTTTGACAACGGTCTGTGGGCTCCACTATATGAATTTAAGTTCTAAAAGTGTGAACTATGAAGTCACTACTAATTATCTGAAACAATGCCGAGTTCAAATGAAGCTGTTCGTAAAAGATGCCATAGAGATTGCCTAGTATAGCCTTTTAGTTTTATGTTCATCTTGTTGTCATTCCATGATCAACATGAGAACGTCTCTGGTAATTTCACTGTTTCTGTGGACATACTGGTCTGTATGTATACTTCCAGATGATTTGAAGTAAGTTATTCTCATTTTCTGCGATGGCCATCTATAAAATAAATACTTCCTCTTGCTATCTTATTTTTTCATCTAGTATTCCATTAATTTTTCACAAATCAACCAAAATGATCTTTCTTACTGAAAAGGTTTCAGTGAATGTTGGTATTTTAACTTTGGGTGCTTCAAGAGGCTACATGGCCATCCTGTAGGAAGATGAGTGGGCAGGATGATGAACTTCTGAGATATTTTCCCACTAGTAGTCAGTGAGTCCACGGGTCTGCAATTTAGGATCCAACAATAGGATGAATAATATAATAAGAACTACCAAATATTAATGAATTTGTAACTGAATAAATGATTGTATGTCCTTGTTTAGCTCCAAAAAAAACCATTGGTATTTTTAATGACTAAACATGTTTATTGGATATAACCATGTTATATTGAATATAAAATTTATAATTTCAGGTAGTTGATGAAGCTGGGTTAGCATGGTAGAAGGAAGTAATTTTATTTGAGAGGGACTCAAATTTTAGATGTTCATGAGTGGTACAGAGTGAATGAGATAAGGTACCTTTGCTGCGTTTTGTTGAACGTGAACTCTTATTTTTTCAAAGGTATTGTTAAACACAGGGTGGAGCAAAAAACAAACCCTTATGATTGAGTGAAATAGAGCTTATTCTTCTGTTATTATTTATTAATTATTGTGTTATCTATATGAGCAACTATAAATGTACTTTTGCCCCACCCTATATTTATATTCCTAATTTTAAATTTCTTGAGTTGTTTATTTAAAACAACAAGACTCCATCTGCGCCATGTTTGTATTGCTCTGTGAGGTTACCGCATTTCTCTCTTAAGTTTCTTTCTGCAGGCTGGTCCTGTTTCTCACTAACTGGCCGCTGTGGTTTATCCTCAGAAACGGTTGCCCGTGCTGAGAGCTGCCAGTTCCTGGACGACAGGATCTTGCAGTGCATCAAGCAGAACTCCGACAAGATCAAGTCCGGGGTGCTGGATGCGTCCAAGCTCCTCAAAGAGCTGCTCTCCTGGAAGGTTTTGAGCACAGAAGACTACACCACCTGCTTTTCCAGCAGAAATTTTCTAAGTGAAGCGGTGGACTACGTCATTCGTCACTTGGTTCAAGAAAATAATAGAGTCAAAACAAGGATATTCCTGCATGTTTTGAGTGAGCTGAAAGAAGTGGAGCCAAAGTTAGCCACTTGGATCCAGAAACTTAATAGCTTTGGTATGTCATTCACTTTTAGAGATGCAGTTTAGTAGAAAGGACACATGGGCCTCCAAGTCTTTCGTTTCCTGTCATTATTTGTGTGCTGTTTTTTTTTTAAGTAGGACTACAAATGGATAAGATTAAAAATACTATTTTTCCAACTCACAATTTATAGTTTACACAAAGGTTATAATATACACTTTCAAAAGTTATAAACACAAAAAAGCTCAGTCAGTTAGAAATCCAATCCCATATTATGCTAAATATTTGTAAACGTGTAAAATGTAAGGACTGTAAATACTGGGCCCAGGCATGGGTACATAGCACCCTCTGTCGTGCCCTCTGGGATTGTGTGATTCGGAAGTCTGATTCCTTAATGGAAAAGTTAGAGGGAGGCATAGATGGAAGAATTGCTTAGGATCACCTAAGGCAAATCTACCACAGGATCATAAAACTGTTCCTCTCTTCTGGTTTTCCTGGTTTGGTTGAGGAAGGCCCAACCAGTCTCTTTGCCTAAAGGCCCTCAAGCAGGCACAAGATGTGAAGGTGAAGGTGAAGGTGATTTTAATGTAAGTGGTTTGCCATCTGATTTGGGTTTTGTTTTTATCACAGGTTTAGATGCCACAGAATCTTTTTTCTCCCGTTTTGGAGCATCTCTCAAGGAGCTTGATTTTAGCATCATGACTTTTCTCTGGAATGAGAAGTATGGTCATAAACTAAGCTCTATAGAAGGAAAGCAACTTGACTATTTCTGCGAGCTGGCATCATTGAAGGAAGCCCGGTGTCTGATTTGGCTGCTGGAAGAACACAGAGACAAGTTTCCGGCCTTGCACAATGCGTTAGATGAATTCTTCGATATCATGGGTATGTGGGTCGAGTTTCAGTTTATACCACGACTGGTTTTAGGGGGGAATCTGTATCTGCGGAGGGTAGTGATTAAGAATAGTACTTTTTATCATGTTCAAACTTTTATTCTATGGAACTCAGTGTTGTGGACATATTCAGATCACTGTTCTCATCTTAGATATCTTGACAGTGTTGTGGCAGAGATTGCTTGTTGACAGAATTTATTACGAAACTAGAGGCCCAGTGCACAGATTCGTGCACCAGTGAGGTCCCTTGGCCTGGCCTGTGCCCTCTCGCAATCTGGAACCCCATCAGTGCATATTCGAGGCCAGGGAAGGACAAAAGAAGATTGGCCCCTGGGGAGGGACCTCAGGAGGGCTCCAGGGTGTGTCTAGCCCCTCTCCCAGTCCTAGTCTGCCAGACCCCAACAGCAAGCTAACCGATTGGAGCGTCTACCCCTGGATGGTCAGTGCATGTCATAGCTACCGGTAAATAAAATGCTGTCCCGGAACTGAGCTTGGACAACCACAGGACAACTAAAAAGGACACAGTTCCCACTGTGTGCATGTTCCCGATTCTGGTGTTCTGTACCTAAAATGCAGTCCACCGGGCTGCCACCCTTTCTCTGCTGGCCAAATGACTGGTCAACAGATTTCCAAGCCTCTCACCTTTAACCTGACATTTTCAGTTTTGTCTGCTTTCATTAGAAGTACATATTCCTTTAAAGTGTAAAAAGTCCGCGATCTTGTAGATAAAGATAAGTTGGGAGCCCCAACCTGCCTCCTGAAGTCTGCGTGCATTTTCCCTGTTGGAATTCCTGTATAGAAGCCCAGAGGTCCCTTGAGAGCAATGTGGCTGAACTTGGTTACGTCCCACTGACTGACTTTATCCAATCAGTAACATTGGTGTGTATCTGGTTTTTAAGAGGAAACCTGGATTGGTCTGGATTCTTCCTTTTCCGTATAACTTTATACCTCGTTTGTCAGCAATTAATATGAGCTTTATCTCGGACCTGTCCATCCCCACTTCTTAGCCAGGAGCTCGTGGTCTTTCCATGCAAAAGTCAGTAGCCTCCAAATGGTCTCCATACCTAGACCCTCCCCCTCCCAATCTTCCTCCTGCGCTGCCTCCAGGGACTCTTGAGGAACATCTCTTGGATCCTGTAACTATTCTCTTTGGGAACCGCTTGCTTAGTTTTGCCTGTTGATTAAATTCACATCATGTGTTGAGCTCATCGTCACTCTGCCCATCTGCCTTCTGAATCAACACCACACCAGTTACTGTGCCCCAACCTGCCCTGTCCTTTCCTGCTCCTGTCTTTGCTTATTCAGTTCCTCCAGCCTCATCCCACCCCGTTGAGTGTTCATTTTGATCCCTTGATGATCCCTCTGGGCCTCTCCCCTCGAAGACTTCTTTATTCTGTCAGCTTCGTTCCCGTGTATTTATTGTGGGACTTAGCACACAGGGTGGCAGGCATCTGCCTGCCTGTCTTTTTTGTAGAAATAGGCGTGTGGGTAGCAGGGACTATTTTGTGCGCCTCTATTCCCAACACCTGGCATAGAGTTTGGCCCCTAGAAGGCACTCAAATTACGCTGAAATGGATTGAAATTTTGTGGTTCTTTGTAGTTGGCTTCCCGTTTAGTTAGCCATTTCACCCTTGCCCCTAAACTAGACTTGTGTCAAAGCTGAATGAGGCATAGAGCATAGTCTCTGTCAGTGTACCTGGGGTGGTTTTCTTTAAAGCTATAGTGCAGGGTGGGGAATGTCTGGCCCGCCAAGGCTCGAGTAATCATGTGATCAAGGCATTAGGGATTAGTTAATTGAATGTTTGAACAAATATAGCAGCTAATTTTTAAGTTGAAAATTTGGCATGGCCCATGAATGATGTTATAAATACCCAAATGGCCCTTGGCAGGAGAAGGGTTCCCCACCCCTGTTTTGGTGTATTACATGGCGATGTTAATGCTTCGCTTGCTCACAAAACTCTCTCTCTTCCTGCAGACAGCCGCTGCACGGTGCTGAGGAAGCAAGACAGCGGGGATCTGCCAGTAAGACATTTGGTCACTTTAAATGTTGTGTTCTGGTTTGTGTTGGCCAAAGGAAGGGGGAGGCCCCAGGCCAGTAGTTCTACCCTAGGTGGCACTCCAGAACCCAATCGGGAGGACTTCTGGTAACGCCTACTAGTTCATTAGGAAGCAAATCCCAATCTGCCCCTCAGAATCGGAGCAAGTCAGCAAATGCTGAGGCTCCGTTACCAACCGCCTTAAAGTCCCACAGCTAAGAAATGTTAGTCTTAGAAATAGGAAAGCAGTTCTTGAATAATCTCCTGGCATAAAAACGAAAAGTTATCAGTAATTGTGAAAATTTTCATGTTTTGCTCTTTAAGAAAAATAAAGGGAAATTGTTTGGAGTGCCTCCAAATTGAGTGTAAATTAGAATGCCAGAGTTGTCTTCCTCAGTAGGTTGTGGCAGTTTTCAAACAGAAAATTGCTTTTTTGCTGACTTTATAGTATCAAGTCATCTATACTTGGAAGTTTTGTCTTAATCCATTCTATCAGGTATTGCCTAGCTACTTATGCAAGCACAACTAAGATACCTGAAAGATTAAAGCTTCTCCTAAATGCACTCAGTGCTCCCGTGTCTGGCCAGGTGCACATGTCTAGTTTGTCATTAAAATACTGTTAGTGTATAACTGGAATTACCTTAAAAGTCTGATATAATCCTTACTAAAAATGAGTTCAGCCGAAACCGGTTTGGTTCAATGGATAGAGCGTTGGTCTGCAGACTGAAAGGTCCCAGGTTCGATTTTGGTCAAAGGCATGTACATTGGTTGTGGGCACATCCCCAGTAGGGGATGTACAGGAGGCAGCTGATGGATGTTTCTCTCTCATTGATGTTTCTAACTCTCTATCCCTCTCTCTTCGTCTCTGCAAAAAAATCAATAAAACATTTTTTTTAAAAAATGAGTTCAAAATGTTGGAACAATGTAATTTTAGTTATAACATTAGGCAACATTAAACTTTTTCTTAATTTCTGATATAAATTATAGCAATAGGACTAACACACCATAGTGTTATTTTTGTTAAACATTTTATATAATTCAATTTATGACCAATCTCAATATCATGGTATAATATATGGTAGTTTCATAATGTTGTTATTTGAGTGTTCAGTGATTTTTCTCTCCATTTTTTAGTTTAATTCTCCCAAGATAAAAAACAAAGGCAAGAAAAAGAAGCCAAAAGATTTAAAGGTATGGAGTATTTTGTGAGTTAATTATGTAAAATTTAATATGTAAATTGGAATTAACCAGTTCTTGGGATATTTTGAAGTATTTTGTTGAAACAACTTTCTAGGCTTTAAAGACATTTTGGCAATCTTCTACATTTTGAATAAATTCAAGGTTCATGTTGTATATTAGTAACCCTTAAAAGAGACTTTTATTTTTATTGCCCTTTTTGTTTTCTGAAAATTTTTTAGTAAAGACAGTTGTCATAATGTGGAATTTTGTCTGGGTAGTTATAGAACAGGGTGACCAAGACAGCTTTGTGGTCAGATAGACCTGAGTTTATAGCTTGCCTCTTGACCAATTATTGTGATTTTTATGGCTGTTTCTATTATCTCTGTGACCTTGGGCAAGTTATTTGACTTTCCTGTGCCCTAGTGTTAACCATTTGTATGAGGAGATGATACCTCTTATAAATAAAGAAAACATTCAAAATAAAAGTGGTGAATCCTAACCACAAAGCAGAATCTCCCTTTCTTCCTCTCACACAAGGTTTAGCTCTAAACCCATGAGGTCATGAGGGGCTCTTGTATTTAAGGGTCATGTTGGGGGCAGGTGTGGAAACAGTGAAAAGTATTAGAAGAGGATGGAGCAGTCAATAAAACTAATGGGAATTTTGAAGTCATTTTTAATATTTTGGAGTGTGGTAAACTACCTAATGTTAATTTGGGCCTATTTATGGTAGTTGAAACTTTTATTATTAATGTGTTTCTATTCAAAAGACAATTTAGGTAAGTCTCATATATTGTCAATCTGCATGCATATTTATGGAAGCATTCATCAGTGTTAATGATAATTTTAAGATAGAACATTATTTTCATTATTTTGTCTTTTAAACCAGCCTATGTTAGTTGGGTCTGGAACAACTTCAATAACACATAATAATGAGAATATCACTTCAGGTGAAGACCATAAGTAAGTACAGTTTTTAAATTTTGCTTCAAGTGTTTCCCTAACTTTTCTGTCTAAAGATCTACATCTTGGATGACAACCTTATATGACCATCTTGATTGAATTTATAGCATGACTTGTCAATGATGAAAATTTATAAAAACTGCATTAAAATCACAAAGTTGCCATGGCTGCATGAATCCATTGGTTGGAGTGTTCTCTCATACACCAGAAGGTTGTGTGTTAGATTCCCAGCCATGGCACCTATTAAGGTTTCAGGTTTGATCTCTGGTCAGGGTGTGTACAAGAGGCAACTGAACAATGTTTTTCTCTCCCTTTCTTTCTAAAACCAGTTAAAAAAAACATACCCTCAAGGGAGGACAATTTTACCTAATAAAAGTAATATGCAAATTAACCATCACTCCACCAACCACACCCACCAGCCAATCAGAGAGGGTATACAAATAAACCCAACCAAGATGGCTACAGAGCAGGAGGGAGGCTTGGGTTTCCCAGGCAACGAAAGAAGCCACGCTTTCCGCCTGCCCTTGCAGGCCTAAGCCTCATTCAAGGCTACTAAATTTCAATTATAGAAGGTAAACAAATCCAAACAAAATGGGTGCTGTCCGCAGAGTGAGCAGGAGGCTTGGCTCCACTCCAGGCTACAAAGTTTCAACTATAGAAGGTATCTAAATTCCAGATACCAGGGCCTCCGCTTGGGTCACCAGGGGACGTGGCTGGCCAGCAAACCACCACAGGCCCCTCGCTCAGGCCACCCGATGCCCCACCCTGATTCGGGACACCCTTCAGGGCAAACCAGCTGGTCCCCACCGTGCACCAGGTCTCTATCCTATCTAATAAAAGAGTAATATGCAAATTGACCATCATTCCAACACACAATGCTGCCCCCATGTGGTCAAAGATCCTGCCCCTATGTGGACACAAGATTGTCACTACAAGATGGCCAGCAGGGGAGGGCAGTTGAGAGGGACCAGGCCTGCAAGGGAGGGCAGTTGGAAGTGATCAACCCTGCAGGGGAGGGCAGTTAGGAGTGACTAGGCTGGCAGAGGAGGGAAGTTGGGGGCAAACAGGCTGGCAGGGGAGTGGTTAGACATCAGTCAGGCTGGCAGGGGAGTGGTTAGGGGGAGATCAGGCTGGCAGGCAGAAGCGGTTAGAGGCAATCAGGAAGGCAGGCAGGTGAGCAGTTGGGAGCCAGCAATCCTGGATTGTGAAAGTGATATCTGACTGCCGGTTTATGCCCAGTCCCACTGGGATCAGGTCTAAACAAGCAATTGGACTTCCCTGGAGGGGTCCCAGATTGGAGAGGGTACAGGCTGGGCTGAGGGACACCCTTCCCCCTGCCCCGCACACGATTTTCGTGCACTGGGCCTCTAGTCTGTGTGTGTGTGTGTGTGTGTGTGTGTGTGTGTGTGTGTGTGTATAAATAAAGAGCTAAAGTTCATAACATCCAAAATGACCAAAGGCTCAACTGAACACTAATTCAGCGACCCAGCACTGACTGCTGAAGGAGCTGTGATCTGGCCCGGACAGAGGCCGCAAGAGAAAAGCAGGGTCTGATCACAGTCCCCATGGCAGTCAGTGCTGGGTTGGTTGGTGGAAGTCAGTCCTGCAGTCAGTGAACATAGGGTCAATTAATATCTCCTTGAGAGGAGTTGAGAATGTAAAGTGCAATGTAGAGCACTTACTTACATTATTTCACAGAAAACTCTTTTCAACTAAAACTGTTTTTCCTTTATTTAAAATGTATTTTTATTGTTGAAAGTATTACAGATGTCCCTTTGTTTTAGGTACCATACACACACACACACACACACACACACACACACACCCCCCGTTGATGTCCTTCCCCTACACCTGCCCTTTCCAGGCCTTCGCCAGACTGTGTTCATTAGCTATTCCTATCTAATACGTAAAAATCGATAAAGATTTAGAGAAAATAAAATAAAAGATATGCCTAATAAATATTGAACAGAAGAGGTAAAGTTGCTGCATGAATACTGGATACAGGCTTGAAGTCAAAACACAGCTCATGATATAAAGTTAGTCATTGTAACATAACAAAAGGTTCCTCACTAAAGAGATAAGATGGTTTCCAATACTTACATACATAATAGAACAGTGTGGGGGTTCAGAATGAACCTCATTAAGATGTGTCTCAGTGGTATGCAGATTTTTGAGCTAAGGGCAATTTTAGCTTCAGGCTCAAGTGAAAATTCTGCCCCTTCCTTTAACCACCTAAAAAATATTGAATTAGAGGCCTTGCCCATAATAAGACATTATCCTACGTAATAAAAGGCTAATATGCAAATCGACCAAACAGCAGAAAGACCAGTCACTATGACATGCACTGACCACCAAGGGGTAGATGCTCAATGCAGATGTCCCCTGGTGGTACGTTGTTCCCACAGGGGAACATCGCTGAGCCTCTCCTGCCTCCATGGCAGTGCTGAGGATGTCCATCTGATGGCTTAGGCCCAGCCCCATGGAAAGCGAGAGGGTGCAGTCCGGACTGAGGGAACTGCCCCCTCCAAGTGCACGAATTTCATGCACCAGGCCTCTAGTAAAAAAAAAAAAAAAAAAATCACAAGACTGATGATATCACTTGATAAATGTGAAAATCCACTATGTGCAAGATACTATAGGGCAATCCTAGAAAATGTTCTTTAAAATGTTTATTGAAGATAATGTTCAATTGATAATTACTGACATATTTGCTAAAATAAGAGAAATGGAGATGTTTTGGAAGTTATATATATGATGTAATAGTTTGACCTTAAATGTTAGTAATTTTTAATAGCATCTGGTTATTGAAGCTATGTTTTGAAGAAACCAATATAGACGTAAGTAGAAATAAAACTAATATGTAGCAATGACCTTTTTATATCATATTTTTTTCTGGGCTAAAAAACAAAACAACACAACAACAACAAAAAAGTTTTGGGTTTTTTCTACATTTCTTAAAGAGGTTGTATAACAGTTGTTTTGCACAGTCATTTTCATGGATTCTTAAAATGGATAAATTGTTTTAAATTATAATTGTAATAACCTATGCTTATATTACACTTATATACCAGGCAGTATTCTAAGAGCTTTCCATATAGTACAACTCCTTCAATTCACTTTTTCACCTAGGAGATAAATGTAAGGCAACTAATGCACAGTGTTGCATGATGTGCCCAAGGACACAGAGGTTGTAAACAGCAGAACCGAATTTAAGCCCAGCAATCTGGTGTAGAGCCCACACACAAACTGCATCTTTTTAGAGTGCTAAAATCATGGCCCCACCCTTTTTTTAAATCTTTTTAAGTACGAGTCTCAATTTCACTTTAAATGAATAGCAGTTATAATAAAACTTTTCATTTTTCTCTTTAACAAGTTGCAATCAATGCAACATTGAATCTTTTTAAACCCGGGAGTTTTAAAAAATTTGCTTGGTAGCAAGAATAAGTAGGGTAATCTAAAGTGCTTATTCAGTAGTCAGGTGCATCTACTTATTGACTGTAATTGTGGAAGGTAACTTCTCTGAATTAAATTTTTTGGTAGCGGGTTTTTATTTATTTTTTTGCATCATAATACCACATAACTGTGCAGCACAGCCAAGGGTTTCAGTGAGCCTGAGGGAGCGCTGGTGAAGGAAGAAGAAAATGACAGACAAAGAGAATAAGCTAGGTTTAGGTGGATCTTCTGTGCCTGGCTGAGGCCACAGAACTGATCCAGACTGCAAAGCTGATGCTTTATTTATAGTCAGGGGTAAATAAGGTAATTTACAATGTTCTTGTAAGTTTTACTTGTTTTGCAGCATTTTTTGCCCCTCCCACAGCCCATTAGTTACCCAGGAAAGATCTAGGGAGCAGTCACAAGATCAAGCTTAATTATTCTTAGAGGACTATGCCCTCCAAGCTGGGACTTGTTTGCAACTTTGCCAGCATGTCAGTCTGAGGCTTAACCCTATAACCGCTCCCTACATATAACATATTACTATCTTTATGTTTACTTTCATTTAATGTTAGTGAGACAAAAGTAGATTTATACTTGTGAGTACATGAAACAGTTTATTCTTATATTTATTAATTGCATTATTTTTCATACAACAACTGTATACCTACTTTTGCCTAATCCTATATAATTCTCGGTCACCTAAAGCTGGGTCAATTATTCACAGAAAATTTTTTTTAATCAACAGGCGCAATTCAAATTCCACAGGCCCATTTGTAGTGCCTGACCACCTTCGGCAAGACGTAGAAGAATTCGAAGCTTTGTATGGACAGCACAGCAATGAATATGTTGTCCATAAGAAGAAGGTGTGGGACATTAACCCAAAGCAAAAAAGTTCAACTCTGTATGAGTGAGTAGAATGTTTCTGCAACTACTATTTTATATGGAGGCTGCCAGTTAAAGATGTTAAGTTGTTTGTATCCCAAATGATTATTTAATGAGTCATTTATTGGCTTGTAAACTCTGGGGAAGCAAAGTGTTTTTATAGCTTTTGTTCAGTATTCTACCAATAAAATCCGGGATTTTTAATTATTAAATTTAAAATTCGAATGATTATTTTTTTAATCTTTATTGTTCTGAATATTATAGATGTTTCTTTTTTTTCTCACGATAGCTCCCCTCCACTCAGTTCCGACCCCACTCCAGGCCTTTATTCCCACACTCCCACACTGAGCTCATCTATAGGAGTGAGCTCTTTGTCCAATCTTTTCCCGCATCCCCCATAACCCCTTCCCCTAGTCTGCTTCCTTTCCACGCCCTGATTCTATTACATTCACCAGTCTGTTCTGTTTATCAGGTTTTTTATTCATTTGATTTTTAGGTTCACTTGTTGATAGATAATGTATTTGTTGTCACTTTGTTCATAATTTTTTATCTTTACCTTTTTCTTCTTCTTCCTCTTCTTAGAGAATACCCTTCAGCATTTCATATAATACTGATTTGGTGTTGATGAACTCTTTTAGCTTTTTTTTTTGTCTGTGAAGCTCTTTATCTGACATTCAATTCAGAATGATAGCTTTGCTGGATAGAGTAATCTTGGTTGTAGGTTCTTGCTATTCATCACTTTGAATATTTCTAATCATTCCCTTCTGGCCTGCATAGTTTCTGTTTAGAAATCAGCTGACAGTCGTATGGATACTTGCTTATAGGTAACTGTTTTTCACTTGCTGCTGTTAAGATTCTCTTTTTGTCTTTTGCCCTTGGCATTTTAATTATGATGTGTCTTGGTGTGGTCCTCGTTGGATTCCTGTTGTTTGGGGTTCTTTGTGCTTCCTGGACTTGTAAGTCTATTTCTTTCACCAGGTAGGGGAAGTTTTCTATCATAATTTCTTCAAATAGGTTTTCAATATCTTGCCGTCTCTCTTCTTCTGGCACCCCTATAATTTGGATATTGGTATGCTTGAGTTTGTCTCAGAAGCTCCTTACACTACCTTCATATTTTTTAATTATTCTTTCTTTTTGCTTTTTTGGTTGGGTGTATTTTGCTTCGCATTTCATATCTTTGACTTAATTCTTGGGATTCTCTCGTCTGCTGTTGGATCTCTGTATATTATTCTTTATTTCATTCAGTGCATGCTAGATTCCTGATTGGTCCTTTTTCATATCCTTAAGGATCTCACTAAATTTCTCAGAGGTTTCTAGAAGATTCTTGAGTAACTTTATAATTGTGGTTTTGAACTGTATATCCAGTATTTTGCTTTCCTCCATTTCTTTCATTTGTAATATGTTTCTTTTTCTCCACATTTTGGCTGCTTCCTGTGTTTGTTTCTATGTACCGGTAGCTGCTAAGTCTTCTTGAGTTGATAGAGTGGCCTTGTGTGCTAGGTGTCCTATAGAGCCCGGTGGCTCAGCCTTCTCAGTCACCTGAGGTGGACACTCTTGGTGCACCCCCTTGTGGGCTGTTTGCACAGTTTTGTTGTAGTTAGCCTTTGATTGCTGTTGGTATCACTGGGAGGAATTGTCCTCCAAGCCAATTGACTGTGATGACCAGCTGTGTCTGCACTGGAAGATCTGTTACACAGGAGACACCCTTACAGGGCAGGGCTTGCTTCAGTGGGGCTTTGGTGCTCACTGAGTCTGTCCCTTGAGTGTGTCACTTATGGATGTGAAGGGTTGTAATCCAGTATGGTTTTATTTTGACCACTGGGTACACTGGCTCTTGGATCTCCAAGGAGGCGCAAGGTCAGCCACTATCTGGGGCTGCCCAGCAGGAGCTACAGAAAGATCTGCAGATTCCTCCTCTTTGTATAGGGTTTGGGGGTGCCCAGACGAAGCCCAGCTGTGAAGCAAGGCTGGCTGCTACTGCCGGCGTTGGACCTTCTTTTGGAAGCTCGAGGGCCCTCCTATCCAGCTATAAATTGACAGGTTTTAGAAGAAAGGACAGGCCATTCATATGCTAAAGTCAATGTGCACAGCTTGGGTGGGATTGTAAATTGGGTGGGGCGGGGTCTCAGGAAATCACCAGGGCAAAATAAACAGCAATGGCAGCCAGTCAGCCCTGCACAAGTGAGGTCCCTGCATTTCCATGTCTCCTGCCCCATGTCAGACAGTCCAGTTTCTCCCCATATGTATCTTGGTCCCCCAGGTCTCACCCAGAACTGAAGTTTAGAGCAAGCAGGAGCTTGTATCTCCCTCCCGGTTAAAAGAGCTGCACATCCAGGTGCCAACATTTTCCAAGCCTTTGCACCTCTTACCAGTCTCACTGCACTTTCTTCACCTTTCTCGTTATGGAATTTTCACTCAGCCACCTTTCCTGCTGTTCTGGGTAGTAGTTCTGCATTTTAGTTGTAGTTTTGATGTGGTTATGAGAGGCAACAAGTGTTTACCTATGCTGCCATCTTGGTTCTCTCCTAATGATTATCTTGTCAGTTTGAGTTGCTAATGAAGATACTTTCTACTTCCAAAACTGTCCTGCTATGTCCTGATAGGACTAATAAAAGTTTCCAGCCATGCCCTAGCTGGTTTGGCTCAGTGGATAGAGCGTGGGCCTGCGGACTGAAAGGTTCCAGGTTCATTTTCAGTCAAGGGCAGATGCCTGGGTTACAGGCTTGATCCCCTGTAGGGAGGTGTGCAGAAGCCAGCCAATCAATGATTCTTTCTCGTCATTGATGTTTCTATCTCTCCTTCTCCCTTTCTCTCTGAAATCAATAAAAATATATTTTATGCCATAACTGGTTTGGCTCAATGTATAGAGCGTCTGCCTGTGGACTCAGGTCCCAGGTTCGATTCTGGTCAAGGGCCTGTGCCTTGGTTGCAGGCACATCCCCAGTGGAGGGTGTGCAGTAGGCAACTGATGTTTCTCTCTTAATGTTTCTGGCTCTCTGACTCTCTCCCTTCTTCTCTGTAAAAAAGTAATAATATATATTAAAAGAAACATCGATGAGAGAGAAATATCAATCCGCTGCCTCCTCCACACCCCCCACTGGGGATGTGCCCTTGACCAGAATCAAACCTGAGACCTTTGAGTTTGCTCTATCCACTTAGCCGAACTGGTCAGGGCTTATTTTCTTTTTTCACTTAACATTTTTGTTTTTATATTCTGTTTGTTTTTTTTCCTCAGATAATTTTTTTTTTCCTTTTTAGATTGTATACTTATATAATTAAAAACGTATAAAGTAATTTTTAATCCCCCCTTTTTTTTTTTTTTTTACTAAAAGTTATTTTTTGTGGGTTTTTTGTGTGGTTTTTAAAAAAAATATATTTTATTGATTTTTTACAGAGAGGAAGGGAGAGAGATAGAGAGCCAGAAACGTTGATGAGAGAGAAACATTGACCAGCTGCCTCCTGCACACCCCGTACCGGGGATGTGCCCACAACCAAGGTACATGCCCTTGACCGGAATCGAACCTGGGACCTTTCAGGCTGCAGACCGACGCTCTACCACAGAGCCAAACTGGTTTCAGATTTTTTTTCCTAAAGTTTTAAAAATTATTTTCTGAGGGAGAAACAAAATTTTACTTACAGTATCGTTGGTTATATATTAGCCTTTCTCAGATTTAATATGATTATAACATTGTTGGGGAAGAGTTGAGATCAGCTGGAAGTGAAATAGTATTTGCTTTGGGAGGATTTTTTGGGAAATATACACTGATTGGCCAGATTATTATGATCTCTGAACGCATAATTATCTGGCCACTTAGTATATATATATATATATTAGAGGCCCGGTGCATGAATTTGTGCATGGGTGGGATCCAGCCAGCCTGGCCAGGGGGAGGGGATATGGGCAGTTGATGGGCCTGCCTGCTGGTCAAATTCCTGGTCGAGGGGATAATTTGCATATTAGACTTTCATTATATAGAATATACACAGAGTGGCCAGATTATTATGCATTCAGAGATTGTAATCTGGCCACTCAGGGTATATTTTTAATGAACATGTACAAGTACTTATAACAACTTATATAAATGCAAATTTCCCCCCAGTTATTTCTCTCAGTTGTTGGAAGAGCATGGTCCCTTGGATATGAGTAACAACATGTTCTCTGAAGAATATGAATTCTTCCCAGAAGAAACTCGTCAGATACTAGAAAAAGCCGGAGGTTTGAAATCTTTTCTCCTAGGATGTCCTCGTTTTGTTGTGATTGACAACTGTATTGCTTTGAAGAAAGTTGCATCACGACTCAAGAAAAAGAGAAAGAAGAAAAACATCAAGGCAAAAGTGAGAGAAGTATCAAAAACAGGAGAGTGTTTACGAGGCAAACTGCCGCTGAATCCAACCGCTAGGGAATTTAAACCAGATGTGAAGTCCAAAGCAGTGTCGAGTTTATCTTCAGCACCAGCTCCTGGAGATGTGAAGCCCCAGCCTGCATCTGCTGATGCTCCCAAACCAGCCTGTGAAGCTGAGAAGCCACAACCAATGTCCGAGAATTCTCCCAGGCCAGTCTCAGAGGGCGGGAAGCCCAAAGAGGCCTCTGCCAGTCCTCCCGAAGCAGCCTCTGAGGGTGCGAGCCGCCAGCAAGCAGCCTCTAAGGAGGTGAGCCACCAGCGAGCAGCCTCTGAGAATACGAGCTGCCAGAGAGCAGCATCTCAGCATGCGAGCCGCCAGCGAGCAGCGTCTCAGCATGCGAGCCGCCAGCGAGCAGCCTCTACAGAGGTGAGCCACCTGCGAGCAGCTTCTCAGAACGTGAGCCTCCAGCGAGCAGCATCTCAGCATGCGAGCCGCCAGCGAGCAGCCTCTCGGCATGCGAGTCGCCAGCGAGCAGCCTCTGAGGAGACGAGCCGCCCACGAGCAGCCACTCGGGAGGTGAGCCGCCTGCGAGCCTCCTCCGTTTCTCCCAGGCCAGCTCATGAGGACGTGAAAACAACCTATTGGACTCAGGCCCCAATGGTCACAGGGTATTGTACATACCTTCCCTTTGCGCCATTCCAGGTTGCCCCACCACCACCAGCATACATAAGCATGGTGCCGACGTTGCCCCAATACACTCTTTACACCCCGATGGCCACCATCTCAACCGAGTATCAGCTGCAAACCTCGGTGACAATGGTGTCCTCTTACATAGCCAATGACAGGCCAGGTCAGAGTGCTGCTGTGTATTGTGAGGGGCGCCGTCGTCTGAATGCTGAGCGTGCCCCTGGCCACCAGATTGCCTCAGAAACACACATCCCTCCGAACTCTTTGGAGATGTCAGGACAGTTACAGTGCGGCACAGGTGGTGCTGCCCCAGCCCAGAGTGAGCCCAGCAGAAACCATGGTCACTGTGCAAACGCTGCCCACAAGCAGGAAGCAAACCCAGAAAGGACCGATGAAGCAACGGATATTCCACATACACAAGTGTTTGCCACACAGGTAAGACTTTAAATATTATAGAAAGAGGTTGTCTTAGTACTGAAGTTAAACTTTTTTCCATTTTCCATTGCCAATATATGTACAGTAAAATGATTGAATATATATGGTTACTAATGCTTTCACCTGAAAATGTCTTAAAAATATGAGCCCTTTGTAGGACATAATGGGTAATCCTGTCAAGAAAGAATTTTGGGGCCTAGTAAATAATACCCTTGTTTTCTCCCCCAGTTTTACACCAGTTGAGAAATAAACTAGAGGAATCAGTAGATGGAACCAAACATCACTTTAGTAATATTAAGGCACAGTAGGAAGATGGGGTTCTTTCTATGAAGTGGAGCCCCTACAGCAGCGCTGGACTGGAGGCCTCCCATCGTGCCTGCCCCATAACACTGGATAGAGAAGGAGGGACAGTGTGCTCTCTGCACACACAGCTCCCAAGAGAAGGGAAAGAGAGTCCAGGTTACATGTGCCCAGTTCCTCCTACCAAAACGGGAGAGGAGGGAGTTAAGCAACCAGATGGAGAGAAAGAGGAGGGAGGTGCATAAAAGTTCCTTCCTAACAAGCATAAATTTAGATTCTTCTGTAGTTAGCTTTACTGGGCATGAATTTATTAAACCCTGATTGGATTATCTCCTACTCACCAAGTTTTTTACTTTCTAGAAAGCTTTGAACAAATAAGAGTAATGAGTCAAAACCATTTAAAAAAAAAAAAACACCCTACAAAAAATTGTGAGCATGTTTTTAAATGGTATTACATAATGGACCTATTTTACTAGAGCAGTTGACATAGATTGAAATTGAGTGTTTGTTTTGCCCCAAAGGTGTCTGGGAGTGTAGCACATCAAGAAGTCAACACTGAGCCATATGATCCTTTGGAGGCACAACAGGTGAGTCAGAATTGCATTACATTGTGTAAAGGTTCGAATGACCGACTAGAACTATTTTGGAGCCATCTACTAGTAATTCATATGAAGTGTTATTATGGAATAAGCTTTAGAAAATAACCAAAAAAGTCCTGTTTTGTTTTTATTGTTGGAATTGGGTAAGGAAAAGCAGAGGAAAACGTAAGATATTTTCTAGTTCATTTATTTTATAGTATAATGGCTTTACTGTTTAACTGCTATAATAGCATGTATTAATTGATAAATAGTGCTTATTCACATGAATGATATAGGTAATATTATAAACTAGAGGTCCAGTGCATGAAATTCATGCAGCCAGGGAGTAGTGGGGATTGTTTCTCAGCCAGGCCTACATCCTCTCCAATCTGGGACCCCTTGAATGATGTCTTACTGCCACTTTACAGGGATTGGGCCTAAACTGGCAGTTGGACATCCCTCTCACAATTCAGGACTGCTGGCTGCCAACTGCTTGCCTGCCTGCCTTCCTAATTGCCCCTAACCGCTTCTGCCTGCCAACCTGATCACCCCCTAACCACTCCCATGCCAGCCTGAATGATATATTACTGCTCCCCTGCCAGGCCATTTGCCCCCAACTTTCCTCCTCTGTTGGCCTGGTCACCCCTAACTGCCCTCCCCTGCAGGGTTGATCGCCTTCAACTGCCCTCCCTTGCAGGCCTGGTGCCTCCCAATTGCCCTTCCCTACTTGCCTGATCACTCACAACTGCCCTCCCTTGCAAGCCTAATCCCTCCCAACTGCCTTTCCTGCTGGCCATCTTGTGGTGGCCATCTTGTGTCCACATAGGGGCAGGATCTTTGACCACATATTGTGTGTTGGAGTGATGGTCAATCTGCATATTACTCTTTTATTAGATAGGATAGAGGCCTGGTGCACGGGTGGTTTGCCCTGAAGGATGTCCCGGATCAGGGTGGGGGTTCCCTTAGGGCATGGGGTGGCCTGAGCGAGGGGCCTGTGGTGGTTTGCAGACCAGCATGCCCTTCAGCAACCCAAGTGGAGGCCCTGGTATCTGGGATATATTTACTTTCTATAATTGAAACTGTGTAGCCTGGAGCGAGTCAAGCCTCTTGCTCGTTCAGTGGTGGCAGCCTTTTCTGTTTGGATTTGTTTACCTTCTATAATTGAAACTTTGTAGCCTTGAGTGGAGGCTTAGGCCAGCAAGGGCAGACAGAAAGCTTGTCTTCCTCCATTGCCAGTGAAATGCCTCCCTCCTGCTCTCTGTGGCTGTAGCCATCTTGGTTGGGTTTATTTACATACTTGCTCTGATAGGCTTATGGGCATGGTTTGTGAAGTGGAGTGGAGTGATAGATAATTTGCATATTACTCTTTTATTAGATAGGATACCTTCGCTTTCTAAAGAATGATTGAATTAAAAAATATATTAATATAGGGTTTGTAAAAAAAGAAAAAAGATAATAGAACAAATAAAAACAAAAAAACAAAAAAAATTAAGAAGAAAAAAATATATATATATTAATATAATTTACCGTGTTAATACACCTTAAGATAAAAGTTATTTGATTGACTCCTTAGTTGCTGAAAAAAGGTACTGGATACTTTCCACTATAGCTTCTGGTTTTTGTTTGTTTTAAAGCTGATTTAAGACAGTTATATAACTGAAAACAATTCATTGATAACATTTTAACTTTAAAAAATCATCAACTATCCATTTAAAAGACTTTAAAGTAGGGCCAAAGTATAAAACAGTTCTGTTCATATCTAAAATATGCATAATATACACACCTTTTAAACATAAATAGTTCTTGATGTTGTTAGAGAATGACATTAACATCAAACTGTTGATTCAATACTAAACCCTTCTAAGACAAATATTCAGACATAGTTATAGTACAGATCGAAAGTTTCATTATAAATTTCAGTAATATGAATAACTATTTTAAAAGAGCTGGCTTTGTTTAACAGTATTCAGGGGGTTTTAATTATTGAATCATTGTGGCATTTCTTTCCCTTGAAAATTTTCACCTGCCTTTTACACTCCTTTATTTTAAGAGGCAGTTCAGAACAAGTTCAGAAATAGGCACTTTTTTGCCGAAACCGGTTTGGCTCAGTGGATGAGAGCATCGGCCTGCGGACTGAAGGGTCCCAGGTTCGATTCCGGTCAAGGGCATGTACCTTGGTTACGGGCGCATCCCCAGTAGAAGGTGTGCGGGAGACAGCTGATCGATGTTTCTCTCATATCGATGTTTATAACTCTCTGTCCCTCTCTCCTCCTCTCTGTAAAAGTCAATAAAATAAAAAAATTAAAAAAAAGAAATAGGCACTTTTCGCTATTTTAATAGAAAACTTTGTAATTTACTTTTAGGAGGATATTTCACAGATTGAAAAGGAGTCCCACGTTTTACAAGAGCAGCTTAAGGAAGCCTGTGAAAATTACGAGCAGAGAAAACTCCAGGGCTCAGAAGAGACCAGGGACCTAGAAGAAAAGTTGAAAAGGAACTTGGAAGAAAATAAGGTAATACTATCTGGAACCTCTCTTTAAAAGCATGTGGCATCATTAGGAAAATGTGTTTGTGCAGCTCATGAGCTGAGCGTTTGCATGTTTAGGACCTCTGCAAGTTACCATAGAAGAAAGGAGCTATAAATCTGGGTTTTCATTTACCTACAGTTCAGTTCCGCTTGATTAACCAAAACTATTTCTGGTGACTAAGTTCCAAGTTAGTCTTGTTTATATTGAGAGGCAGTGGAGCATTAGTGGTTAGGAGTGTGAGGCCTGGATTCAGACTGGCTGGGGTCAGAGCAGGCTTTGCCCTCTCCCAGTTCTGATTTGGAGCAAGTTACTTAACTTCTCGGTGCTTTAGTTCCTTACCTAGAAAATTTGGGGTTAGATTAATACTTATAAAGTACCTAAAACTGGTGCATAAGAAGGGCTCCGTGAATGTTGGCTGCTACTATTCTTACTATTATTATCGTCATTTATTCCTAAGGAAGGATGAGAATAACACGTAGAACCTATGCACACCAGAACTGCAAAGCCACCCTAGGGTGTCTTTTCTGAATCTACTGATCCTGAATTATGTTGGCTAAGAGTGTCAGTGATATGTAGCTGCTATTGGAGCAATACTGATTAGTGGCAAAGTCAGATTGAATTGGGGGACCGTGGAATTACAGATGTGAGGAAATGGTGGTGCAGTCTTCATACAGAGGTGACAGGGTGATAGTCCATTTAAGAAAGGAAGAGCCTGTCGCGGAAGTCGGGATCAGTAGCTGGGGCAATGTATTAAATAAAAGAAAATTAGCTCCGTGGGACCTTGATCAAGGACTCATTCATTTTTTATTTATTTTATTTTATTTTTTCCATATAGATTAGTTTTTTTAGGAACTCATTTATTGAGGCTGGCCAGTGTGGCTTGGTGGGAAGTACCTCAAATACTTATTTTGGAATAAAGTTGAGGTTTTAAAAAAGAGATATAGAAACCAAATTTTCTCTAATTGAGAAAAAAATCAACAGAAAGTGGCGATAATTCTCTCTCTAAACTGGTACATGTAGAGGATGCAGTTACATCCTCTGGGCTGTTCCTGCTTTTATTCTGATATTTACAAGAAAAGTATTCAGATCGTTGTCCTTAGTGGAGTCAGAGACAAGTGCGTGAAGGCGCCCGATTAGCATTGTGAGGCCCATGTTATTGGAAGGTGGTCGGCACAAACAGCTCATGAGCTCACGCAGCGTATGTTGTGGTTGAGCTATCAGAGCGTGTGTTTTTATTACTTAGTGCATTTTGTTACCTGACTCCTTTAGGTACTTGTTGCCAATTTGGATTTCATGCTCCAATATAACCTTTGCTCTCACATCATCTCCCAGCCAAAGGGTTGGTTCAGAGGTGAAATCATTGACTTAGAATAGAAGCACAGGTGGGTGAGAAACAAGGTTGGCATGGCTACCAGCAGCAAGACATGCGAATGTCCTTTGCTCATAGTTATAGGAGTGATCCAAGTAGAATCAGGATTTTGTAAATGGAGTGGGTCACCTTAGTCATTGTAATGACTCAGCAAATCCAGGGTCAGCAAGGTTGCAGCAAGGAAAATGCGAGAGAGCATCCCTTCTGAGGGGCGGGCACTGACCTGTCACTGAGCCTCTGCTGCCCAGGAACAGTTGGCTGTGCACCTGCAGGCCGCTGGGCCAGCCCACCACTGCAGTCGGACTCGGCAGTCTGCCTCCCTGGGCCATTGAAAACCAAGTGCTGTCGGGGTCAGGAGGCTGCTGGGGACAGACACGAATCTTTTCACAGCTATCTCAGAGGAAATGCTCCGATTTCCTCCTAATCTTCCTGCACCACAGGTCTCTGCTTCCAGAACCCAGCTAAGACTTTCTCTGTAGTTGAACAGAATCCCATGGTGGTCTAGGAACTTGCCCTCTTATACTTGAGATCTTGTAACCAGTTTGACACTGAAGCCGTTTCACCCTGCCCTGCCTTCCGTACGTCCTCTTGCTTTTGTGCAGACGTGTCGTGCTTCGAGTGGCAGGCTCATGTGGGAGTCCGAGAGCAGATAGCACTGGTTCTGAGAAGCCCTTTCTGAGCACCATGGTCTGTTCTAGGTGTTACCTGACAGCCTCGCCCCTGAGAGCAGAGGAGGGCTATGGTGGGTCACGTGGTAGCCCTGGCTCAGCCCTATGCACAGCCAGCTGTGACGGTCCTGCTGAACCCGAGTCAGGGCCTGGGGCATCGCCAGCACAGTTCTGATCTCTCAGGCTCCTTTGTTTGGTGAAGTAAATCTTTCTAAAATCGTTTTAGATCTCAAAGACAGAATTAGATTGGTTCCTTGAAGATTTGCAAAAGGAAATTAAAAAATGGCAACAGGAGAAAAAAGAAATACAAGAGAGACTAACAACACTAAAGAAGGAAATGAAAAGGGTTTCAGATGCCACTGAAACGTAAGTTAGGCTCAGTGCAATGGTTTCTGTTGTTTGTTTATTGGGGAGGGAGTTGTTGATACTGTAACATTTTTTATATTCCCTTTCAAACTAAATCAAGTGAAGTAAAAATTGTAAATACTGTTTCCTCTAATTTTAAAAAACATCTGTTGTTGAAATATGTCACCTGAAACGTTTTCTAAACCTGCCATGTTTGCAGATAAAGTGAGACTGAATTAAAGAGGGCATCCTTCTAGTCTGAGCATTCCCTCTGCTGTGGCCATGACCTTTCACACACACACACACACACACACACACACACACACACACACTGCATCTCAAATGAGCGGACTAGACTAGATCTTAAGCTTCTTTTCAGCACTAAGATTCTGTAGTGATTATTTTATTTATGATTACTTTCACCGTGAATCCTGAAAGTATTAAATTCCGTCCTGAAGTGTGAGGGATTTGGAAATACATACAGGCCTTACACTTATCAGCTGGGCCAAACTGGTGCTAAGATTCTCCATGACTGATTCTTCCCTCACTTCCTTAAACAGTGATATGTCCTATGATTCACTTAGCTTGTTACCTCCTGTGTAACAAAACACCCAAAACTCTGTGGCCTAAATTAGCAGCCACTTCAGCTGATGTGATCCCACATAGCTGGGATGGGCTCCGCCGGGATGCTGGTGTCTGGTTCTCTCCCTCTCCCTATGGCCTCCCTGTGACTTTTATCTACACGCTCTCTCCATCTGGTCTCCAGCATGGCAGCCAGGCTCCTGTGTGGCCCTGGGAGCTTCCAAGAGTGCAGAAGCAGGAGCTGCCAGGCCCTGCAGGTCCATGCCAGAGCTGTCAGGCTTCCTTCCACCACATTCTCCAGTTTCAGGCGGGCCTCGTCCGGAGCCAAGAGCTGCACAGTGGGGGCCAGGTCACCAGGGGCCACACCACCACACTCATCTTTCATGGCATTTATGCATTCTCCATTTGCCGTGCCATGTGATCAGATGGCTTTCATTATGTCTCACTAGTCACATCTGGGCAGTTTTTAGGCAGCCCTTAAAAGAATGGTGAAACATAAAACAGGGCCTCTGTCACGTCCAAGTAGCTCCAGGGAACACATTTGCAGAAGAGATAATGTCTGTACAGCTCTTTTCCTCTTCATATTTGAGCAGGTCTAGTCTTAATCATTGTTATCCAGAAATTGAGAAATATTTATGTTGAACATGCTCAATTTAGACAGTCTATTTAATTAAACAAAAATAAATGAATCTGTTGATAGGAAAATATTTTTTCTCAGCATAAAAATTAACCATTTCTGCTGGGGAATAAACTTTTTACTGGTCCCCCTTCAATTCCCCATACACACACTTTATTAATATATGTATTTCTTTGCCTCTTTTGGTCATTGTTTAAAGATACAGATAGGTTTTAAGGATAGGCTTCTCTGTGCTTTTTACACTTTCCAAGTAAATACTTTATATTTAGCTTTTAAAGCAAAATCTTAAAACTATTAGATCTCCTAAAGAAGCTCAAAGGATATGAACAATGATGTGATTTTTCTACACTTTAGATCACATTTAGTATTAAAAGTGGCTGGGGCATAGGGAGCTCCTGCCTGGTGCAATGGGACAGACCAGTGGCATCTATGGAAATGACGCAGGTTCCATGAAAGAACAAGGCACAATGGAGTGCTTAGAGGAAGGTGTCCGCACAAGAAGGAATGGCATCGGAGCTGGTTCTTAGTGGAAACGCGGGGTGTTCCGCCAGTAGAGATGACTGAGAAGGTGTGTCGGGAGCATGAAGAGGGAGACTCCTTTCCTCCGGGCGTTGCTTAGGAGTCACATTGGCACTTTGTTTGGAAGGGTTGTCAGTACACACATGAGGGTGTGTGCGTGTGTGTTAGACTTTAACTTTTATTTTTAAAAATAATAAGTGTATTATTGATTTTAGAGAGGAATAGAGAGATAGAAACATCAATGATGGGAGAGAGTCATTGATCTGCTGCCTCTTGTACTCCCTCTACTGAGAATTGAGCCCACATTCCAGGCATATGCCCGTGACTGGAATGAAACCTGGGACCCTTCAGTTCAGACACTGATGCTCTATTTACTGAGCCAAACCAGCTAGGGCTTAAGTTCTATTTTAAAGATCAGAGGCTGACCCTGGTCAAGTAGTTCAGTTGGTTGGAGTGATGTCCCATTCACCAAAAGGTCACTAGTTTGATTCCCAGTCAATGCACATACTTAAGTTACGGGTTCAATTCCCAGTCAGGGCACTACGGAAAAAACCAATCAATATTTCTCTCTCCCCCTCCCTCACCCCTCCCTTTCTCCGTCTCTCCTCCTCTTGCCCTCCCTCTCTCCTTCCCCACTCACCCACTCCCTTCCTCTCTTTCTCTTTGTGACTCAATAAAAACAGCCACCCAAAAATTTAAAAAACAACAACAAACAGCCCAGTTGGTGTGGCTCGGTGATTGACCATTGATCAATGAACCAAGTGGTCACAGTCCAATTCTTGATTAGGGCACATGCCCAGGTTGCAGGCTTAATCCCCAGTGTGGGGTGTGCAGGAGGCAGCCTATCAATGATTCTCATCATTGATGCTTCTATCTCTATCTTCCTTTTCCTTCCTCTCTGAAATAAATAAAAGTATATATTTTAAATAAATAAGTAATAAAATTAAAAATCAATTTTTTAAAATCTTAAAAAAAAAAAAAAAAAAAAAAAAAAAAGGAAGAAGAAGAGAGGCCATTTGCATTTTGAATGAGAACCAGTGGTCAGACTGCACTCCTGTCTTAAACCTCCCAGAGGTGCTCCTTGAAGTGGACTGAGAAAGAAAGACATATGCGACAGGCATATGACTTAGTGATCAAATAAAATGGCTGAAATCCATGATCTGCCCTCCAAGTATAAAAGGAAAGCTTCCAAAAGGAAAATGACCCAAATTCTTTGCTTGTTTTGAAGATACTAGAAATGAAACAAAGTGTAAAAACTTATAAGGAATTCAAGAATTTTTGCATGGCTGTGTTTGAATTTACTCTAAATCAGGTTTGTAAAAAAAAAAAAAAAAAAAAAAATCTTGAAAAAGGAATTAAAATTTGGTGATTATGCTTTCATAGGTACACCCAGAAAAATGATGGACATGAAAAGGAACACGAATTCCTTCTGGATCAGTCTTCTGAAACCAGGCAAATTAAGTTTAAATTTATTTGTATGTCGTCTTATACTTTTAATAGCAGAGACCAAGCACACTGGACATCTAATCATATTGTTGCTTGTCTGTCCTTTAAATGATTGTTTCTATTTTTATTTTCTATTTTAATATTTAAATAAATTTATTCTTTTTTTTAAAAGAAATACATTTTATTTAACACAACAATCCAAAATATTATTTTAACATGTAATCAATACAAAATTTATTATTGAGGTATTTTACATTCTTTTTTTTTTCCATACTAAGTCCTTGAAATTCAGCTTGTATTTTGCCTGGAGCATACCACCCCATTTGGACTGGCCACATTTCAAGTGCTTAGAGCCCTCTGTGGCTAGTGGCTGCCCTATCGGACAGTGCAGCTCTAGACGATAACCCTTTCAGAAACTTCATTTCTCAAATCTGAGCACCTGCCAGCTGCCAAATAAATGTATTTAAGTATTTTTATGTTATGTTACTAACATATTATTTCACATTGTCAGTTAAAAAATCTGAATTTATAGTTGATAATTACACTTCTTTTCCCTTGAATTAACTGGAAACTAAATGTGTATTTTAAAAACTTTTCTGTGTTACTTGAAACACCAGTCTCAACTACGTTATGGTAGTTTGTTGCTCTGATTATAGGTTCATTGAAGGATTTTCAGTATGAACCTATAAAAAGTTTCCTTTTAACTTTTATTAAATGGAAATAATATTTTCACATATTGGTTACCAGTCTATTCAGTAGTAAGCAGTTGTATTTTGCTTTTAATATATTATTTCATATACAAATTTCCATTCACATTATAGTCCATGCCTGCCTTATTTTAGCTGTTACAGATATATTGCCATGAACAACTTTCTATAGATCATTTTTGCCTTTGGTTATTTCCTTATAATTTGTGTCAAGATAGAAGTTCTGACTCAAAGGATGACGGATATCCTATAAAGTTTATTAATATAACTGCTTATACGCCAGGTGTGCTCATAAAAATGGTAAACCAGTTTCCCACCAGTTTTCTCACTTTCAATTTCATCTTCCTCTGATCATTAGTCAAGTGCAAAGAGCACATGTGAGTCTGTATTACGTAGTAAAATACTAGGCAAAAAGTTACTCTGGAAGATGTATGTCTTTTCGTGGCCTCATCTCAGAGTTATCCTAGCTTTAGCCTTTGTAATCTCAGTGGTAAGATTTTTTTTTTCAAAAGGTGTTTCTCCTTTACTGTTTGCAGTGATACTTTTACAAATGAGAAAACGAAAATAGAAGATCAAATAAGGAGAGGGAAGGAGCAATATGAAGAGATTCTTCAAAGAGCTGTGGCTGCAGAGGTAAGCCAGGCGTGGGCGGCGGAGGGAAGGGTGGGAGAGGAGGCCTGGCATACAGGCGGTGGGCTTGGTCTGCTCTGTGCTGACATCAGCTGCAGCACAACAGCCTTGCCTGGAGCGGAGGCCGGTGTCCTGTCTCTGGAGCAGCCGCTCTCCTCGCCTGCAGCTTCTTCATTGCTGGCCCTGACGCTATAAGTGTCACGTAGCTGTGCTCAGTGTGCACCACATTCTGTAACCTGCTTTCCTTACTTAACATGATAGCTCAGCTCAGCCATTCTTTATGCTCTCCACTTTGTATGGCTTCATTATACTAGTCAAGAGTCAGCCATAAGCACGTTCGCCAATACTAGAAAAGGAATTTGAAAATCATCCATTTACAAGAATATCCTTGCCCCCGCCCTCCCCCCAGAAAGATAGATACCAGGGTAAGTATATTGTTTGAGAAAGTAGTGAGGCAAAAAATAAAAGTGATGACCCCTGGCTGCACTTCATTTAGTTCTGAAACTAATTAAGAAGTTAATGTTGTTTATGAGTATGTGTGTCTGTAATTATCCTGGGAAAATAAAAAAAAAGGCTTAGCTTGTGCAATCTGCAAACATGAGTCTTTCAGTTAAATATCGACTGTATAGCTGCTTCTAAGGAAAAGAGAGTAGTCTGCGGCGCCCATGCTTCTGCCCACGTCCCAGCTGTCAGTTCTCACCTCACCTGGCAAGCCTTTTTGCCAGTGGGTCCTGGCAAGGTGCTGACACCAGAGCTGAAGCAGGCAGTTGTACATTTCCTGCAGTGACCCACAGAAACCACTGGTTGGCTTGTGGGAAGCCGAGAGTCCACGGCTGTAAAAGCATTAACCAGGGCTTCCGACGCCTGTGAGGTTGAGCACAGCATCTCTGCGGCCCAAGTCGGACAGGGGGGCAGCAGTGGGTGCTCGCCCGGGGTAGACAGACACAGGGAACGCCCACCAGGGAATGCACACAGGTAGCCTGGCTCTGTGCTGTAGCAGTAAGCCACGTGGGTGTGTCGTCTCTGAGAAAAGTGGCATTTAAGGTATATCATTTTACTGTCATTTTGTTATTCTAGTTTCAAATCCAAAAGCTTTATCGCTTCTCGGCCTTTTGGCTAAGATCAAATGTAGTATCAAATCCAAAAGCTTTATTTCATAGTCACCTGAGTGACATTACAACATAAACAAGTTCTGGCTTAGCATATTTAAGTTTTAACAAGTTCAAATAGTTTCTTATTTTCAGTTTTAAAATACTTAAACGTTCTCTCATCTCATGGTAGATATCTGTGCTTGAAAACCAGAAAGAGATGGAAGTGTTTAAGTTACAGATCATGGAATCACAAGCTGAAGGGTATCTGAAGACCTTGAGCCAATTGCAAAGGTACTGTGGAAATAATGGGTATATTTTCCAGCCTGTCATTTAGCAAATGAAAGCTACAGCTGAGGAATAAAATCTTACATTAGGCAGAACCATTTTATTTATTTACTTACTTATTTTAATACTAGAGGCTCAGTGCACAAATTCGTGCACCAGTGGGGTCCCTCGGCCTGGCCTGTGGGATTGGGCCAAAACGAGCTCTCCAACATCCCCTGAAGTGTCTGGGATTGAAAGAGTGCACAGGCCAGGCTGAGGAACCTCACAGATGCACCATTGGGGCTGGGAAAGGACGCAGGAAGTTGGCCAGCCAGGGAAACACCGCAGGAGAGCTCCAGGGCAAGTCTGGCCTACCTCATTCAGTCCTGATTGGCTGGACCCCAGCAGCAAGCTAACCTACCAATCGGAGCATCTGCCCCCAGGTAGTCAGTGTACATTATAGCGAGCAGTTAGCAGCCTTAGCATATCATTAGCATATTACACTTTGATTGGTTGAACAGACACCTGGATACATAGCATATTAGGCTTTTATTATATAGCACATTTTTTATCAATTTCAGAGAAGAAGGGAGAGAGAGAAACATCAGTGATGAGAGAAAATCACTGATTGGCTGCCTCCTGCACGCCTCCCACTCGGGATTGAGCCTGAAACCCATGCATATACCCTGGCTGGGAATCGCCTGGTTCATGGGTCAGTGATCAACTACTATTTTACCAGTCGGGCAAAAATATAGTCATTTTTTGTGTGTGATCATATGAAATATATCTTTCATGTTTAAATGTTTATTTTCATTTGTACTTTAGTGCTTTCCATTTTTAAAAATATTAATGTGGACATTAACAGTTTCATGTTTTTTTCCTTTTTCAGTGATCCTGCAGCATATCCTGAACTAGAGTCTGACATGGATTCATGGGAATCATTTCTTTCTGATGTTAGAGAAGAAATTGAGAAAACAGAGGTAAGTTGTAAAACATTTTATAATTCTGTCAAAATCTATATGATAGTTATAATTCCCAAGTGGCTAGAGTCAGATGGAAACCGTTCCTTTTTTGAGCTGTTAAAAGCAATATATATTTTTTGTTGAAATTTTAAAAAGACTTTTTCATGAAAATAATGATATTTCTTAACCGTCCAGCTCCGCCCTGGATGCTGAGTGAGAGCAGCATGTTGACGAGGCTGTAGAGTGTCTGTCAGTGAGGTCTTACTCGGCACTTCTGTCCTTCAGGAAACAGTTGTCATAATACCCTCATTTCGTTCATGTTTCTTGGAAGATCGTTGGCCATGTTTAATGTACTGTAAGAAAAAGAGCATGCATTGACGATTGTGGTTTTCCCTTGGAATTTGTTAGGAAACTTGACCCTTTTCTCCTACCTACAGTCTCAGTTTGAAGAACAAATTAAGGCCATTAAAGCTGGCTCTCGGCTCAGTGAGCTTTCTCCAGTGCAGATCTCCGAGCTTCCGTTTCCCGCATGGAGCGCAGTAAGTCTGTCCTCTTCTGTTTGAAGGGAAGAAAACAAAGCATAATGAGCCAGTGTCTTTCTTAACTGGCAAAGCAGTTGGCTGCTGCTGTTGGCTGGGAGTGGGGGTGGGATGGATGAATAGTTGCCCTCGGGTTTTCATTAATGGTGCGGTGGTTAACCTTTGGGCGTTACAGTAAACATTCTTATGTGAATAGAAGACTTCCTGTCCGCATCCGGGTCTGAGGAGGGGCCTGAGGTGGTGAACATACTGCTGCTACACCTCCCCTTCCTTTTCCGGATGCTGGGGAGTGTGTGTGTGTGTCCCTGCACTTAAATAAGTATTCCAGGTGTAGCAGGTGCCTGTGATTCAGGTGTAATTTATTCTGTGATGCTTGAGGCAGGAGACCACAATCTGAAATTTAAGATTTGTTTTCTTGGGAAATACAGGTGGAAACTGCCATCTGGGAGACACGTGGGCTTTGTGGTCTGGCATCTCACATTGTGCTGCTGGTTTGAGTGAGGAATGTGCTGAACCTTCTGAGTAACAGTGATTGCCAAGCCTCATCTTGTTTTAAATACGTACAGTCACAAAGAGCATTACCTTTACTTGTGGACTTTAGCACATGGCTACACCCAGTACTGCTTTATTCTGGCATAGGTGTTTCTTATTTGGACACAGCAGATGCTCAATAAATATTCCACTGAAATGAACTCAGTCCTAGGAAGCCCGGATTACAAGAAATTCAAGGACTCCATTGGAGCGTTTACTAGAGCCCTGGTGGGTACGCAGTACATTAGAGCATCATCCTGACGCTGAAGTTTCGGGTTCAACCCTGGTCAGGGCACAGATAGGAACGAACCAGTGAATAAGTGGAACAAAACGATGTCGCTCTCTTCTGCTCCCTTTTCCTCCTTTTTCCTTTTCCTTTCCCCGTTTCCTTTCCCATCCCTTTCTCTCTCTCAAATAAAAAAGAAAAAGAAGCCCTAACCAGTTTGTCTCATTAGACCAAATGTCATCCCATGTTCTGAAGAGTCCCAGGTTCGATACAGATCAAGGGTACGTACCTGGTTGTAGGCTCATTTCCTGACACTGGTTGGGGCATGTGATGGAGGCAACCAATCAATGTGTCTCTCTCACTTTGATGTTTCTCTCTGTGTGTCTCTCCCCTTCCTTCCCACTCTCTCTAAAAATCAATGGAAAAATATCCTCCGGTGAGGATTAACAAAAAAAAAAAAGAGTTGATCAGAGAGAGATTTCAGAATGTTTCGCCACAATATTGAAATCTCCTGGTTCTGACATGTCTTTAAGGCCACCATTTCCCCAGCACTTGATTCTCACCTTCCTGCTACTGCCTAGCTCTGCCCTACTCAGGGCTCATCCTCCCTCTGCGTCCTGCCTTCCCCTGAGCCCGGTCAGGCTGCCTCTGCCCCACCCGGACCCTCTCGTCAGGTGCGTTCCTCTCCTTCACTCAGTGACAGCTCCCTGTAGGAGCTTTTTCTCATCAGAACACGCTAAGCATTCAGACAGTGCATTCATCTCGCGGAAAACACTTAGCCTCCTGAACTGAGGAAAACGTTCTGTTGAGATCCAAAGTTTTGTCTCCACAGCATAAGTTTTTCTATCCAATAAATGAATAAGAAATAGTTTTATGTAGAATTGAAGATACTTATCATTTACAGTTTTCCAAGTTCTTATAGCAGATATGGAAGGGCAAGAGTTAGATCTCAGTAGAATATTTTACTATTAATGTTTAATTATAGCTCATGTGGTTTTATAAATACTCAAACTGATTTCACACGCAGAACCTGGGAGCTCTCAGTGTGCCAGGAGCTTTCACAATAAGGGTCTCTAACCCACCTCCTCTCTGTCACCGCCCTTTATCCATTGGGCATTAATGGAATCAAGATCGGATGTGGTCTGCCCTCAGAGGCCTGTGGGCTTGAGAAAGAGACAGTAGTTAAATTGCGTGCGCAGGTCTCCCACCCCTCCTGGATGGTGCAGCTTGTCGGTGAGGGCACTGAGCAAGAGGAGGCCAGGCCACAGGGAGCTGCCTCGGAGAGTGAGTGTGAGACCTGGGATAATTAGCAGGAGGCCATGGTGGGGTGTGAGGGCGTGGGTGGCATATGGAGGCTGGGAAAACATTCTAGACCGCAATCTTTAGCGAGGGGCACTTGTGGCAGCAAGCGTGCAGTCACCGAGGCAGGAGAGGATAAAATGGCCTGGGGAGAGGGCCTTGAGGAGAGGTCAGCCTCGGGGACAGGAGGAGCTTCAGCACTTGGCGTGGCCAGGCTGCAGGGACTGGGAAGGGAGGCGGTGGCAGGCAGAGTGTGCAGAACACGAGAGTGGCCCGCAGCATCGGGACCCCGCGGTCTCAGTGGAGATGTTGGGGGCCTTGGCAAGGGCAGTTTGGGGGAACGTTGGAGCAGCTGTTTGGTTCCTCTCCACGTGCAGCTGGGAAGAGAGTGGGGTCCTGTGAGGGGAAGGAGGCAGGTGGGTGTGATGTCCTTCCTCAGCGGTGTTGCAGACTTCACAGAGAGAAGGAATCATAGAGGGAGTTACTACTGAGAGGTCAGAGTCCAGCCCTTTCTCACAGCTAACAGGCATGTTTCGATAAGTAATTAAAAACAAGTATTTAATTGTATTCTGATTTTTTTCCATAGTCATGCTTAACTGTCAGTCTTGGCCATGGCTGTTTCTCTCAGTCCCACTGTGCTGTGTCCCTTACAGGTTTGCCCGAAGTCACCTCCTGAGTCTCCAGGCCTCGATGATCAGGGTCCCTCGACATCTGCAAGTCCCACAGCGGTTCCCAGGGATCCAAGCCTGGTCTTTGCCGGTGATCGCCCAGTGGGGGCTCCCTCGCCACCCCTGCCAGCATCACCCTCCGCTCAGCAGGAGTGTGAGAGCGCCCGCCCGGCAGCTCGGCCCAAACACAGCCTCCCGTCTGATCAGAAGCCGCCTGCTGCTCAGGGACGCGCCGCCCGTCCCAGCCCGTCTCCAAAGAAGCCGTTCAACAGCATCATCGAGCACCTGGCGGCGGTCCTGCCCGGTTACAGCAGGTACGGGGTCAGAGGCTGGCTGCGCAATGTTGTCGCTGAACAGGCTTCCGGAGCCGGTACGTTGGGCCAGGTAGGGGCTGACATAGAAGGATCGCACCGTTGTTTTATTCAGAAAGGCGGTGCTGCCTTTTCTTTTTAAGCACAGAGGTGTGCATTTCAAATACACTTTACCGTGCATGTCTAGTGGTACCTCTGAGCACCAGCAGAACCGGCCCTTTCCTAAGATGCTGATGAGGTCAGTGACATGCGTGGCACTAGTTAGGCAGTTGCCTAATTAGGAAGCACTAGTTAGGCAGTTGCCTGGTTAGGGAGTTGCCTAGTTAGGCAGCACTAGTTAGGGAATTGCCTAGTTAGGGAGTTGCCTAGTGATGTAGCACTAATTACAGAGTCCCCTGGTTAGGGAGTTGCCTAGTTAGGCAGCACTAGTTAGGCAGTCCCTGGGTGAAGTGCAGATCACTGGCTTCATGTGCTTCTGGAAAACAAGGCCCATAAAAGGAGGAGGCGGCAGCTCCTGTGACCCTCAGCTGAGAGGTTGGAGAGAATGGTGTGATCCACTGGTGAACCAGGGGTGTGGCAGGTTCCAGAGGGAATCCGAGGGCCGGGGAGGTGTGCTCTTTCACCTGAGCTCCCAATCCACACGTCAGCAGGGCTTTTCCGGACCTTGGCCTTGCCCTCCAGGTTGGTACGAGGAAATGGAGAGGACTCCCCTCCCAGGACGGCCCCCATGTTATTTCTGCCTTGGAGTCTCTGATTTTATGCTTTTGAAACAAATAGTCCTCGAACTGTGACTGGCCAGAATGGATATTTTGCATCTACGGGGACAGACAGCCTGCCCTCGAGAACTGAGTGTTCGGTCTGCACGGGGTGTCTAGCCCATGGGCCCCAGTGTGAGAAGTGTGGTAGATTCTCTCAAGAGCCATAACCCCGCCAGTTATAAGAACATTCAAGTTGAAACTACTAACAGTACCTTACAAATAAGATTGTTTGCAATCCTGGCTAAATTTGGCAAAGTTAAATAATCAAATAGAAAAGCATCAATTTTCTGAAAGTTCAAACATTTGCGCTATTCGTGGTATAATATCAAATCAATTATTTACATCCATCTACACCCACTGGTGCTTGTGAAACAGGCTGTGCAAACCATGTGGTGGGTTAGATTGTTAGGGAGGATGTCAGCCAAGCTGGTTTCCTCCTAGGTAGAGGTTTTGTGTTGGGTCAGACCAATGGTGTCTGGTCATTAGTGGTGCTGCCTCAGTGGGTGCCGGAGCCCGGTGTCTGCCGAGGGATGGCCCTCCTCCGTGACCTTGCAGATAAACTGCTGTGTGACACCGATTGCAATGAGTCTTTAGACACAATGCTGGGATTTTCACTGTCACTGGATAGGCTGATCCTGCTAGTTTATATACAACAGGCTATTGTCTGCCTGTTCCTTTTGTCTGGGTGTATTTGTTTCTCTTGGCTGTAGGTTGATACTGGTACCTAATACTTTTTTTTTAAATATATTTTATTGATTTTTCACAGAAAGGAAGAGAGAGGGATAGAGAGTTAGAAACATCGATGAGAGAGAATCATCTATCAGCTGCCTCTTGCACACCCCTACTGGGGATGTGCCTGCAACCAAGATACATGCCCTTGACAGGAATCGAACCCGGGACCTTTCAGTCCGCAGGCCAACGGTCTATCCACTGAGCCAAACCGGTCCCGGCCTAATACTTTTTTGTACATGATACTTCTCAGCAGTAGAAAACAGACTTTCTGCTCTCATTTCTTTTCACTTTCTCCTTCAGCACCGAGCTTGCTGGTTTCATTAGAAAAGTGCGAAGCAAAAGCAAGACCTCGCTGTCAGGACTGAGCGTTGATGAAATCGTCCAGAGGGTGAAGACACACGTTCTAGGGGCACAGCAAAGCCAGCAGGTCAGTGTCCACCCAGACACAAGCGAGGCCTGTGTCCTTCTGGGTGTCCCTGTGAGGCTTGTAAACCCAAGCAGGCTTCCCACCAAAGGTGCTGAGCAGGTTCCTGGCGACAAGGGAGCCAAGCTTTTGGGTACCCAACCTTCTTCCCCACCCCATTATCTCTGCAGCCGAGTCCAGGACAAGACAGCTCCGCTGCCTCAGGGACTGGGGCCGCCCGGGGCCTGCCCGCCGTGATCGCTGGACCTTCACCCAAAGCCCGCGGCCAGAGGACAGGAGGCGCCCCTGTGAGTGCTGCATGTGTGACAGCTGTCTTCCTGTTTGTGAGCGCATGTGAGGCCTTGGGAGCATCGGTGTAGCCCCATTCTTTTATTCTAGACCCAGTTCACGGTCCTGCAGAACCGGCAGTGAATGGCAGGGCCCTTCTCTGCTTTTTTGACGGCACGTATGTGCCGAGTGAGTCGTCCGTTTTGATTTGATTTGCACAAATAATCCACATTCAGAGAAACTTCAGAAACTAGCAGAGAAAAACTAACACTCTGAACCAGAAGGAGCCGCTGTTACCATTTCACATCTTTGCAGGCTTTTCTAGGCAGCTCTGCACCCACATTCTCTGTTGCTGCTGCGGTTTTAAATAAGTTGATGGTCATTTGAGGCTTACAGTTCTGTGCCTGCTTCTACTCAGAGGGCTTTGTGACCAGCTTTTACGACAGGGATTATGGATTTCCGTTTTCTGTTAAGATTTACTCGGCCAGTCGCTAAGGGTTAGGGAATTAGATGCATGATTAATTTGTGATATTCAGCTGGTTCCAAACTTACCAGAAAATTTGTTAACCATAGAAAACATTTTTTCCTCTGAGAAAATTAGAATTTTAAAAATATTCTTTTGTACGTTTATATTTTTTCCTAAAAAATGCTATTTAAAAATAAGTGTTTTACCTAAACCTGAAATTTATATGTTCATGTTTACCAATGTCACCCCAATAAATTTAATTTTTAAAAAATGAGAATAAATAAATATTTTTAATATATTTTTTATTGATTTCATAGAGAAAGGAGAGGGAGAGAGAGAAACATCAGTGATGAGAGAGAATCATGGATCAACTGCCTCCTGCAGGTCCCACACTGGGGATTGAGCCAATAACCAGGCATGTGCCCTGACTAGTAATTGGGCAGTGACCTTCTGGTTTACAGGTCAATGCTTAACCACTGAGCAACACTAGCTGGGCAATAAATAATTTTTTTAAATAAAAACAAGTTGTTTTATCAGTGGGCTCAGCTAACTGTACGAATAATTTGCCAATTTAGTGGCAGCAGCAAAAGGAACTTAGTGACTTGTTATTCATCCACTTTGGTTTCCGCAGACACTGGGTGCACAGTCCTGTGAGCTCTGCCATGAGGCGTTCAAGACCAAAAACGTGCTTGTGCTGAGCTGTGGGCACAAGTTTCACAAAGGGGTAAGTGTCACCCTCAGAGTGTGCATCTAGACTAGGAAGTATTTGGGAAACAAATGGGTTTTTTCCTTGGGTATCTATACCTCCTGTGTTTCCAGAGACTTACCATACCTGTGTAGCATCACTGTGTCCGTTTCCAGTCTGGTGCTGTGGGAGGGGACAGGCTCCTGGGCCCCGGCTGTGTGCCCTGAGCTGCCCGTCCGCCCCTCACTCCGAGCCGGCACACAGGCTCCCTGGGCCAGGCAGGTGCGGACATTGAGCGCGGGGACAGGCGGTCTCTTGCACATGAACCAGACTCATGCTGGTCAGCTTAGTGCAGAGTGCGAGGCGGGGGCAACGTTTCAGAGGAGAAACACTCCCCTGGCTGGTCCCTGTGCCAGTCTGGCAGATTCTGACCTGCACCCTCTGGGATTGGTGGGAGACTGTTCTGGTGTTTGGGGTGCTGGTTTAGAAGAGATCAGGGCTCTGCCACGTGGGCTTACGAACCCGGGGAGGGGGTAAATTCAGAGTTCCCACTGGGGGCCTGGGCGGCTTGCAGCCTGGCGCCCGGCCTGGATCTCAGACCTGACACACCCCCCGCTGGAATTGTATGAGTTAGTCCAAGGGCCATGAAATGCCAGCTCTGGAGGTCAGGGCTGCTGAAGCGCCTAGACTGGAGCTGGGTCGGGGAGACCCAGAGTTCACGGGCAGGTTCTGGAGCGAGCGTTTTCTCGGGCTTCGGCCACGCTCCCAACCTGAGCAACCACAGCGGCCCTGTGCGCTCAGCCTGGCACTGCTGACTTCCTTTCTCCCTCCAGTGCCGGAAGCAGCATCTGAAATGCCAGAGCACCTGCCCGGCCTGCCTCGGAGAGTGACGCACCTTCCGGAAGAGGCCTGCTGCCCAGGTAGTCACGGCCCCACGGGAATTTGGCCGTTAGTCGAATTGGAAGAACAACAACATACACTTCTGCTGTGAAAGGCAAACATTTGAAGATTCTTTGCACTGTGTCACAGTGCTAGTAAGTGGAAATCTTCAATGTAGTTGATAGTAATTTCCCCACTCTGATTAAACACTTCAGTAACAGCCTGAATTGGCGTGACCACATTCTCACGCGGCTGGGCTGCCGCTGGGACCATGGCTCTGCGTGACACCCCAGAGCCGTTCTCTGTGCGTGACGTGTCCAGGCACCCAGGTGAGAATTCCGACAGGAGTCATGTTCCTGGAAACACGCCAACAAGCTTCCTCAAAGATTCTGCGTTTTAAAAATGGGCTTAAGCAAACCAAATTTTAGTCAAATTTCTTTAATGTTGAAATTTTGGCTGAATTAGACCAAAAGATTAGAATCTCATGTGAAACATCGTGTTTTTTATTGTTAATTATTTCTTTTTCCAAAAGTAGATTTGTAAAGTGCTTATTTGTCCTCTTTTAAAGATAACATCTGATTTTTGAAAATTGATTATCAACCACTTTCTTGGATCAGCCTCTTTACTGCTGAAATCGAGGCTGTGTTCACGGTCCCATCCCCCAGGTGGCGCTGCCCTTGTGGCTCCTCCTCTTCTCCTGGGCCTCTTCCTGCTTCCTGGTTAGACCAGGTGCAGGGTCTCTGCTCGCAGCAGCATTGTGGGGAGCAGACAGCACCATCCTTCCCAGTCCCACCACCTAAGACAGCCTCTTGGTAACTGGCCACCCATGGTGCCCCTGCTCCATCCTTCTGTGTTTGTGCGAAGAAGCGTCTGCCTCCTGGCTAACTCCAGTAGAAACAGGAAAAAGTAGTTCTCGGTACTGACATACCGACAGTGGTAAACAGAAACACGAATTCTGGACACATTCCATTTCTCTCAAACAGGAAGGAGCAATATATTTTTCTGTGTTTTTTGTACCCTGGAAGCTCAGTCCCAAGTTCCTGAGCCGGTCTGTGGCCTCCTCTGCCTTGTTCCATGCGTTCGATGTCTCAGTGGCGCCTGTATATGCTTACTGCCTATTTTGAAGAAGATTCTCCTGCCACCTTGCCTACATGTTCCTAATGCCCGCGCACTGTCCGCAGGCAGGTACCAGTGTGTAGCAGCAGGTACCGAGAATAAGGCAGCTGGGAAATGAGACGTGCATTGTACATAGTTTCAGACTTGTGCACATCTGTAAGTGTCACAATAAAGAGTATTTTAAATGGCAGCCCACCGTGTGCGTGTCCGTTCCTTCTCATCAGTGTTGGAGAAGCATTCTACTTGAAAACTCAAGACACCTGTGTTACACTGACATTTTAGAATATGTTTTTGTTTTTTACTTTAGAGAGAGAGGAAGGGAGAGGAATAGAGAGAAACGTCGGTGTGTCGCCTTCTGCACTCCCCCCATTGTGGATCGGGCCCACAACCGGGCATGCGCCCTGTTCTGGGATCAGCACTCTTCCACAGAGCTGCCGCCAGGCTGTTACACTCACATTGTTTAAAGGGGTTTCATCAGGAGAGGGGCCTAACCAAGGTCTGAGGGCCTTTAGAGTCCAAATAAGGCTCGTGAGATTGGCTATTTAAGTTTAGGATGGGAAGCTCACACAGATGACAGGAAGTTCATTCATGAGAGTACACCAGGGCTGGTGATGTGCCCTCCTCAGGACCCATTTCTTCTTGAGGCCTATGGATTCTTGGACTGGAGGCCTATCAGTGGGCTTCCCTTTGCGAGGGCCATGGACACTGACACTGAGGTGATTGAAGAAAATCAGTTATCATATGTTTTCCATCTGATGGCCTTTTGTTGAAAATAGTGTATAATTTAGCCAAAACCGGTTTGGCTCAGTGGATAGAGCGTCGGCTTGCGGATTGAAAGGACCCGGGTTCGATTCCAGTCGGGGGTATGTACGTTGGTTGCAGACACATCCCCAGTAGCGGGTGTGCAAGAGGCAGCTGATCGATGATTCTCTCTCATCGATGTTTCTAATTCTCTGTCCCTCTCCCTTCCTCTCTGTAAAAAATCAATAAAATATATTTGAAAGAAAATAGTGTATAATTTAAAGCAAAGATTTCCTAAGAGTCTAGATTCTTGTCCCTGCCTAACACCTTACACTGCTATAAATAGTGGGTAACCCAAAGTAAGTGTAAAATCGTGCCCTCGCAATGCAAAACATTACTGTGTTTTTAAGGTATTTCACAGCCTAGATAGTGGAGGCAGGTGGCTGTGAGCACACACCACAAAACTGACGCAACAAACCTATTTTCGGTGGTTTTTCAGATCCTCCTGGAGAAGTGGGTTAAAGGAGGCAGGTGGGAAACGGGAACAGGATGGAGATTCTTTTGCCCACAGAGATGCTTGCTGGGAGGCTCCTGAGAAGCACACAGGGAGCGGATGAGCTGGGCTTGTCAGAACCAGGACCTAAAGTATCTCCAGTGTCACCCGCACGAAAGTAACGGGAAGTGTGTTTAGGCGGTTTAATCTGTATTAAACTTTAATAAAATTTTATTGAAAGAACTAGAGGCCTAATGCACGAAATTCGTGCACAGGTAGGGTCCCTAGTGGCTGCCAGCTGGGACCTCCCACGGCTGCCTGCCCCATTGCCAAAGTTCTACACCACCCGCTGGTGGTCAGCACATGTGTAACTCCTGGTCAGTCAAATTCCCACCCCTGGGGACAATTTGCATATTAGCCTTCTATTATATAAGATTATATAATAGTGCACAAATTAATACTCTGGTTTACAGCTGCCCCAGCCCAAACAGGTCAGATCGGGGCTGGGCCTGTTGGGAGGAGGAGACGGTGGGAGGTTGGCTGGCAGGCCTGCCCTGATTTGGGTCCGATCTGGGCTAGGCTGGCTGGGAGGAGGGGTCATGGGCAATTGGCCAACAGGCCCCACCCTCAAACCAAGTTACCGCAGCCATTCTGGAAAGTAAGTTCGTTCCTGAAATCGCCGCGAGTTGCCATGGGGACCGTGTGACCGCAGCAAAGGATGCCTGCCTCAGGGGCTCATGGCGGCCTGGCGGACCATGTGGGTTCAGACTGGAGCTGTGGGGCGCCTCGCGGAGAAGGTGGGGTGCCCAGCCCCCAGGTTGGGGTGAGGACTGTTGTTACTTCATCATCGCCTCCCGGTTGTACCGGTCTTCCTGTTCCCCCTAACAGTGGCAGAAAGGGGCAAAAACAAAGCCTGAACGCTACTCAGCAGAAGCTAAACAGCGCTGGTGAACTACAGAGTCCTAAGGAGACGGCCCATCAGTCATCTGAAGTCATTTTTAACTCCATTAAGAACAATAGTTTGGGACAGTGGTCAGCAGAGCCAAATATCAACAGCACGACGATTGAAATTTCTTTTGGGAGCCCAATCTTTTACCCTTACACTGCTTCTAACGCCACTTCACAACAGACTCGCTCAGGCCCTGGCATTTTGTGGAAGAGCCACACTGAAGGGGCCAAAGAGCCGCATGTTGGTGTAATGCCCAAGTGTCCTAAACCCCAAAGACTACCAGGGAGCCGAATCCGATGCAATTGCAGAAAGCCTGTATTTATTTTGGACTAGTCCGAGCTCAATCCCACTTACACCAGCGAGGGCATGGCGAGAAAGAGAAAGAACATATCAACGGGTTTTATAGGGAGGGTGGAGCCACGCCTGGTGCAGGGCTGCGCGCTGTCCTGGTTGCTGGCACCGGCAGTGAGACTGTCCCTGTGGACTGGGCCCGGGCGCGGGGGAGGTTGGGTGCTCAGTGGGCCCCACGGGCCCCAGGAAGAGAGCCAGCCGTTCACCGTGCGGGGACTGGTGAGCTGCTGGTCCACAGCGGCTGGAATGGGAGGGCGGGCAGGACAGGGAAATAAGTCCTGTAAAACCAAAGGCAGTGTGCCTGCGGCCGTGCGTGTCTGTGCTTTCGGGGTAATGGATGCACCATGCGTGCCCCGTGTTTTGGAAACGCTGTGTGGGTTCTGAGTGAGGGGGGAGTCGACACCACGGAAATGGACCAGTGCTGCCCGTCCAGACCCCCCGCCCCCGGCTCCGGTCCCCACCCCCACCCAGAGCGTGTGGGGGCAGGAGTGCCTGTGGGACAAACAGCCGGCTGATGGTGCTGACGTGCCTGGGGGAAGGGGGGCCTTCTTCGTGTCGAGTGGTGGGTGCCGAGGTGACTGCTGCCCAGCGAGCGCCTTCCCACTGCTGTCTGGCCGGGGTCCTGCCCCGCTGCCAGCGAGTCTCTGCCCTCAGCCTGGCCTCATCCTGGGGTCTGGCCCTTCCCTGCCATCAGGAAGCGGCACTGTGGTGCTGGGCAGCTGCCCAGGGACAGGCCCCTGGGGGTTCCTGGCCAGCCCTCCCGCCAGAGGCCACCTGCTGACCCATCTGGGGGAGGGTGTTGCTGCCCTGAGGCCCCTCCTGCCAGAGCCGGCACAGGGGGTCATTGTCTGCCAATACCTGGGCCTCTGAATAAAGGCTGTTCTGTGCCCTGACTTCCCCCCGCTGGTGGAAGGTCCGGGGAAGGCACTTTGCCAACCTCCAAACTCAGCTGTTTATGCTGGGTGCCCGAGGGCTTAATTTAGACCCCGCTCCCTGTCCAGGAGCCTGCTGCCTGCTCCGCCGTGTCCTGACATGCCACCGGCCAGGGCGAGCCAGGCCCCGGGCAGCCAGCCTGAGCAGAGCACACTGTGCTGCCCGCTGGCAGCCGCCCAGCCCCCAAGGCCAGCCCAGCCTGCCAGGCCGCCAAACCGTCCCGGGGCCAGGCCTGTGGGAGAGCTGAGCTCACACGCCTGCCCTCCCGTCCCCCCTGGGCCGGGCACCCTGCCCCTTCACGCCTCCAGGAGCCTCTGTGCCGGGGAAGAGCCGCAGGCCTGGCAGTTGGTGGGCGCGACTCCAGCACACCCCCGGTTCCCAGTTCACTCCATCCCCTTCCCACCCGCCCAGCAGGGGCGCTATCTGGA